GTTGGGGGAAGGGGGGGGGGGGGGGGGTTGTCTGGCTTCTTGACTTTGATGGCACGTAGGCACAACAGAGGATGTGCTGTGGGAGATCATTAATATACGTGGTCGGCGACGACGACATCGTGAGGAGACCGTCATGGCGATCAGAGTGAGAGACGGTGGCGGGGGCGGCGGCGAGGACTCTAGCAACGCACTGACGAGAAAAGCAATGAAGAAGAAAACACATTGTGAATGTTGTTGACATTTATTGCACTATTGTAGTGCCTCGGTGTGCCTCCTTGCGTTGTCATCTTGTCATCTTGTCATCTGGTCTCACCCAAGCTCTAAACACGCGAAACCCCCGCGGGGAACTTGCCTTGAGGAACGGCCGTCTCACTTCTCCTTGGCCTCGTCCTCCTTCTTGCCAGTGGCCTTGTTGCCATCAAGACCCTGGATCTGCATGGCCTCCAACTCGCCATACCACCCGCCCATCCCCCCGATGTCAAACCCGAACCCCTGCTCTCTGGCACGAGCGTTCGCCTCCGTTCCGGCCCTACTGGCCCTCATCCGAGCGGCCTCGGCAGCACGTTGCTGGCGGACCGCGTTCAACGCGTCGTCGCGCCCGATTGTCAATGCCTCCTGCGTCGCCCTGGTGGCAGTGGCACGCAGAGGTTGCTCTCCGCGTGCCGCCGCCACCGTCTCGGAATGTAGAAGGCGCTGTCTGGCCTGCGCGAAGGCCGTGCGGCGAGCCGCAGCAGAAGGGAAGTTGGTGTTGACAAGATCCTGGAGCTCCTGGTAGAGTCGGTTCTTGGCAAGGCGTTGGGTGGCAGTCTCACGTGGTTCTGCAGCACGTGGCTGTTGAGTGGTGCTGGATCCTGCAGTTGCAGCAGAAGCTTGACGACGACCAGGGCGAACACGGGGAGGAGGTGCAGTGCACTCATCAGTACCAGGTGCATCAGTAGCAGTAGCAGTCGTGGCAGTAGCGGCAGTCGCGGTAGTCGCGGTAGGAAAGTTGGCGCCGTGTCTAGCCAAGCGTTCACGAATTCTCTCATGACGACGAGCTCGGATAGTCTCCAGATCAGGGTAACCAGATCGAGTGCCGGCAGAGGTACGACCAGTGGTGGCAGGACCAGGAATTGGAGGACCAGTAGGAGTAGGACCATCAGCGTCAGTGAACATGTCGGTGTGGATGACGGATGCAGCTGGGAGTCTCGAACGAGCGCGAAGATTCAACGGATCGTCATCTTCAGCAGTGGAGTTGTTGGTGGCAGAACCATGAGCAGTAGTAGACCATCTCGAACGACGATTGCGGAGACCATACGGATCTTCATCTGTGCGTGTGTCGTTGATGGAAATAGTTCGAGCACCAGCAGTCAAAGTAGCAACATGGTCATCAGGCGTGACAGGGATGTTGCGACCAGTAGTGGCAGTGCCAACTCCAGAAGTCATAGTAGCAACGTGGTCATCAGGAGTGACAGTGATGGTGCGACCTGTGGCAGCAGTGGCGGCAGGGAGAGTGATGTTATCTTTGTTGACCTGTTTGCCTTTGACATCTTCAGCAGTGGACTCGACTTTGGTGACAGTGGACTCAGCAGCAGCGGTAGCGGCGGCAGCGTCATCCTCGCTGGTATCTTCTTTGTCATCTTCCAAATCTTTGGCACCTTTGACAGTGACATTCTTCTTGGTGGTATGATCTTTGTCAACTTGTTTCTTCTCAACAGCTTTGGGAGCGACATCCATGTCGGTGGCATTGTCTTTGTCATGTTTGTCCTCAGCAGGTTTGGCAGCGACATCCATGTCGGCGGCATCGTCTTTGTCATCTTGTTTCTTCTCAACAGGTTTGGCAGTGTGCTCCATCGTGGTGGAATCTGGTTCAGTAGCTTTCACTTTGGCTTCACCTTTGTTCTTGTTGTTCTTGCGGCCAGTCTTCTTTGGTTTACCCTGGATGAAAAGGTTCTGCTCATCAGCCATGTTGTTCATTCTGACGGCGATGAAGAATTCGAGAGGTCGAGGGTCGATGTCAATGGTCTTTCCGTTTCTGATGGCAGCAGCGATCTCGATGATGCCGATGCAGGTGAAAGGACGGTAGTGTTCGACGTAGGTCTTGAAAGGGATGTCGACAGCTTTGTGGTCTGGGTTGCGACGGAGGAATTCTGCACACTCAACCGCCCAGTCGAAAAAGAAGTCGACAATGATGCCAATCACGTCAAATTCGTCGAGGAAGGATGGAGAGTCAATGACGTCCTCGAATTCAACAGGATTGGTGCCTTTGACAGGTCTCTGACTGGTGAAGAGGCCGATGAATTTGTTGGTTTTGATAGCGTGAACAATTTCAATCTTGACGTCCGTGTCAACACGCCACTCTCTCTTGCCAGTCGACTGATCAACAGTCAAGTAAGCAGTAGTGAAGAAGTGACGAAGGAGATCTCGAGCGGCGTCTTTGCTCCTCTCGAAGGTGTGGAAAACACGCTCTCCGAGTAAGCAGGCCTGCAAAAACGAGACGAGTTTGTCAGTCATGAGCAGACTCTGAAATCGCTGTCACTCGCTGTAACGTGGGTAGAAACTCACAACTTGTCTGTAGTCGTCGCCCAAATCAATCTGTTGAAAGGTGCCACTCAAGATGGTAGGGTTGGGAATGTTTGAAGTGTTGACAAAAGAGTTGAGTGCTCTGGCGACTTGCGTGGGCAGAGAAATTGAAGGCCTCTCAGCGGTGGTCTTGGCCGATTCTTCCGTAGATGATTCCGGAACCTGGTTAAAGAAGTCCTGAGTAATGCGAGCATGGCGCGCAGCCTTCTTTGAGTTGTTCTTCCCCATCGCGCTTCGTGGATGAACGATTGGCAGCGATGGAGCGCGGGTTCAGGGTGTGCGAAGGACAGTAGAAGCGCGACAGTGAGCGATCCGACGAAGACGCTTTTGAAAAGCGTTGAGAATTTCGTGGATGCCATAGCTTGGCGCTGGCGACAGTGTGCTCACCCATCTTTTCTGCCACACCCTCAGTGAAGACGAGTGAGCACACTGTTGACCATGCAATACTGTGCTGTAGAGGCGCAGGATATGATGTCAACATTGGTTTTGGTCTGGGGAAATCCTAGCGCCTTGGCAGCCTTGTCCAGCCTTGTCCAGCCTTGTCCAGCCTTGCCAGCTTGACCACCTCTCACTGCCTCAATGTCCGCTTTGATATGTCACAGATCACCAGACCGCAGCCAGACCTACCTTTCCCTCCTCTCGCAGTCCACACCGACCGCCGCTCAACAAGTCATGATGTGTCTCAGGAGGGCCTCAACCGCATCGCGAGAACAATGAATGCTTTGAGATTGAGCGAACACTCTTCACCTACCCAAATCGGGTTTGTCCGCATGGCACCTACCTACCTCCTTTGTGGCGGACGTACTCTTCAGATGAGGCCGCCGTTCGTGAAACGCTGCCTCTGTCCAGTCTCTGGGTATCCACACCCTGCGGACCCCTTCTGGTCTTGTCACGGATAGCCTGTTAGGAACGATCTGAGAGAACTCGTGCATGTTTGAGAGCCCGTCAACTGCATCATTTCATTGACATCATTACAGGGGTGGTATATCTGGGCTCATCCAAAGCCCTCCACTTGCACCCTTGTTGCTGTCTGCCGTGGTTCGTCAGGATCATTGAAACAAAGTCTATCAAACAACCGAAACCCGTTTCTGATCATCATGCCAGTCCAAAATGGAGAAGCCATAGCAAAAGGGAAACAACGAGCAAAACTGGGGATATCATCGCAAGATCAAAGGCGCACAAAGGAACGTCAAAAACAACCTCAGTCATGGGCTCAGCTACCCATGTACATCTGCTGTGCCCCAGGGTTCGAAAAATCCATGCCGGTGCCACTAACGTAGCCGTCAGATATATCTTCGTCATAATACTCTCCGCCGCTTGATGCATCGAAGCCTGCTCTTCCCATACCGCCGACATCGCTAAGGTCTCCTTGGTCGTCAACAGTCGAAATTTGCGACCAATCTATGTTCTGCAGTGCAGGATACTGCTGCAGAAGCGCGGCGGGTAATGCGAACCCACCAGCACCTGTGGTGGGGTCCATGCCTATCATCATCGGTTGAGGAAGGGGTTGTAGCCCGCCCTGGTGGGCAAAATGTGCCTGCTGCTGTTGCTGCTGCTCCATCATCGCTCTGTTCTGCCTTTCTGCCTTCTCTTCCTCGAGGAGTGGCTTGATGCAAATCCGTCCGGCTTCACTGCGGAAATGTCTACCAAGTGCATCTGCCCTTGCGAACCGTCTCCCACAACCCCAATGCTGACCCGGTGTTGAATGGAGCTCGCCTTTGCAGACGAATTTCTTCTCTCCGCTGTGCAGGCCTTCATGACGTTTTCGATCATGCTGTCGTGCAAATGCTTTGCCACACACTGTACAGACGAAGGGTCGTTCATCGGTATGAGTCCGCAGATGCGATCGTAAATTATACGCTCTTGTGAACCGCTTCGGACATAGATTACATTGGAACGTCGCGGGATGTTTTTGGACCCTCGTATTTGACCCGGACGGAGACGCGTTTGGCCTGGTGGGATCGGCGAGATCGAGGATATAATCCCTGCTTTGACCCATCGAGGAGGTGCTGGCTCGACGGTTCTTGTCGATTCGCCCAGATTGCACACCTGGTCCAGGAGATGATTCTCGAGACAGCGATTGGCCTCTTTCAGGGGTGCTAGACCGGACAGAAAGACTGTTGCGATTGGCGTTGGTCGCGGTCAGCCCCGGCGAACTCGATCTTGACAGAGGGCGTGTGAATGTGACGTCGGATTTGCTTCGGTTGCGGCCCCCTAGATCTCAAATTAGCTTTCTTCACATATCATAATCGGGATATAGAGGAGCATACTGTTGTTGGACGGAGGACTCAAGGCACCTTCCGTAGCCTCGCCTTGCGGTCCAAAGCTTTGCTGTCTCGACACCGGTGCCGGTTCGATGTTGATGGTTGGAGGTTGAAACTGGTCAGCCTGACCAATGTCCGAAACGACCGACGTATTCCGTATATGATTACTCGGAACAACGGGAGGCTGGTATTGAGGTGGTTGTGTAGTATACACGTCGGGTACGGGGATTCCGAGAGGTTGACCCAAACGCAAGCCACTCCCATCCAGTCCAAGGCCCTGCTGGTTGCCTTCCATGTTGGGCATCAGCCTCGGAGATCGGTACGGAGCCTGGTCGCCTAAACTGAAGCTTTCCATGCCGAACGCATTGCTTGTGTCCGGTTGCGCGGGTAGATACGGCGAGTGGTTGATGTCGCCTCCTGTGTTGTGCAATTCTGAATGAGACAGATATGGGGAATGGTTTGCGGACGAAATATCGCTATGTTCAGAGGGCGCCCTCCGGTGCTGTTGAAAACTCAAGCCAGAATAGGCACTGGATGGATCGAGAGAAGCGTTTCTTGAATGCTGAGGAGTGTAGTACTGGCCGTTTGTCGACGCAGGCGAACCCGGTTGGGACGAGTGATTTTCTGGAGGATGCAAATTCGGGGACTGATGATCCTGCGGCGGAGATAGCTTGCTCAATTCTGCTGGGTTCACATTAGTTTGGGAATTCATGTCGTAGGCTTGGTTCAGTGAATAGGTCTGGTTGTAATCGCCGGATATATCCTCGCCCTGGTACATGAAGTTCCCGCTGTTGAAGGGCTGATCCAGCTCCTGGCCCACGAACTGATTGTCTGGATAGATGTTCTGATATTGGCCGTTATCATAGAAACTTGGCTCGTTTGGGATGGGTTGGAGGCCGCCTTGTTGCTGAGAAGCAAGGAACGGGTTGTTGAAGACGCTGCCCGAGGTATTGAACTTGCCGGTGGTCAGAGCTTGTTGAACAGAAGGGTCTACTCCTGGTACAATGCCGGGGTAGTGGTTGGGGGAAGGCTGAGGGCTTATGTGCTGCGCATTGCCTCTCGAGGGAGATCTCCCTCGAGAATTGTCCATCTTTTTCAACACAACCCACTCAGGCACAATGCACCGATTTAGTAGAGGCGCGGAGAAGGGACCAGATGGGAAGGATTATGAACCACTTGGGGCTGGCTGTCCAGAACGATGGTTCCTCTAGGAGTATAGACCCGTCGTGGGGCCGGTGTACGGTTCGAGATCGGACTCAATTGGGGGTCGGAATATGGTATGTAAATACACCTTATGAACTAGTCTGTGGCGCAGTAAGTCAGAGAAGATGCCTTTATATGAATGAGTGGTCGGATCAGGCTGGGGGCCATACTCAGCCGCGCAGTGAGGCTATGCCGCAGTTCGGATGATGATGATGGTATAAGTAGTCGTAGAGCGCCGTGAACAATTGGAATTCTCCAGACACAGTATTGCCTGGTCAGTGCGACACCGATCAAAGTGCGAAAATGAGCCGATACCCTTCGCGGTGGGTTCGGGATGAGGTCTTCGGTGAGTGTGATATAATAGCGGGCGGCGACGAGCTGGCGAATTGAGCGGGTTGTGGGGATGGCGGCAAGTTCAAGACGTCTACAAATGATGACGACAGCGACAATCGTACAAGCAAAGGCAATACAGTCGATAAGGAGGTGAAAGATGTATAGAAATTGGATAGCGACGAAATATCAGTATACCGGAGTGGAAAGACGACAGCGGGATGGAAGAGTGTGAGGTATGTAAGTGTGAGATGCAAGATGCGAGATACCGGAATGGGGGGTGGGAAGAGGGAGGGTCTTCTAAAGAAAGGTGGTTAACGAAATACACTTGAAACGAGCGAAGCGCCACGCCGGGAAGCCAGTCTGAGGGCTCCCATTGGGTGTTTGGAGGTCTGCCCTAGGTACCATCGACTAGCCGGGGCCCTCTATTTCTCTAAAGTGTGTGCGAAAAGGCAGCCGAAAGATCCCTGCAGAGCTGCAGAGGAGCAAAGCCCAGGGACGGTACCTAGTATCTACAGTACCTGGCAATGCTTGGGGCCCTACGAGGTACACCTACGCATGGAGTATAGGGATCCCGGGGTACCTAAGTACCTCCCATCACCACCTTAGGTACCTTGATCCCACTGTCGGCCGCTCGTCGTCAATCACTCCACCTGCCCTCCCATCCACCCATCCATTCGTCCATCCAACCATCCATATTCTGAGCAATCAACCAGTGACTCAAAAGTGAGAAGGCGTGAAAGCCCCAAATCAAGCTAAATTAACAAACCTGCCAAATTCCACACCAGGAGATTCTTGCAACATGATAGCATACCCCCCAAATCCACATCTTCTGACGAGTAGCAGCCTTTTTTGGAGTCCTTGGGTTGCCTTTTGGTGCAGCGAGTCGAGTTTCTACCCGTGATCCACATGCCACCCGCCTCGGGTTAAAATACTAGGAGCCACAATCACCTGGTGTGGCCTTGGGTTGAGCCGCCCCTCCTTCCCCTTGAGCCCTGGGCGGACCAGAAAGACCGACAGCACCGAGTGTGGGAGAGAGTGTGTCTGCCTTGCTTTGTTAACATACTAGGTAGGTACAAGTGCTGGTATTGGTTCTGGTACTGGTGATACATATGGGGTAACTTACCTAAGTAGTCGTTACTTATTTAGGTCACTTTGTGTGCCTTGCCCGCTTCCTTCCTGTCTCCTGCTTCCTGCTCCCTGCTTCCTGCTTGATGATGTCGTGAATCCATAATCTATTACTACTGTACCGAATATCTCCGTGTCTCCCACATATCCATGTCTATAAGTATAAGAGTGACGCTAGCCCGCCTGCTTCAGATCCTGGTGCCTGGCATGATCTTCGACATCAAGACATTGGCGTCATATCCTCCCCCTAGTCTTTTGTATGGGGCCAAGCCAGATACAGACCGACAAGCACCCGTGTATCTCGTAACAAGGTCCTTGTATCTCTAACTAGTACATGTGTTGTGGCTGTGTAGTGGGTGCCTGCCAAGCTATTCTGTCTCTACCAAAACCGACCATCATGAAGGCCCGTTACAGTACCAGGGAGGACTTCATTTTGATGCCGTGTTCCGTGCCTTGATCCCACTTGGTGTGAGTACCAAATGCTGTGTTTTCTCTGGCGTGTCTCCAATCAAAAGAGAATGCATCATATTCAATATTGCAAATCTTTGGTCTTTTCATTACCGCCGTCCTTGTGTGGTTCTTCTTCTCCTGCTTACTTTTTTTGGGTCTTGTGCGGGAATTCTTTTCTATTTTACACCAGTTCATCCAGCCTTTCAACAAAGGGATAGAAACCTGAGACCCCTGATATGTGCCTGCCCCAAAGTCGGCGCTGCTGCTTCTTGTTGATGTTGTAGTTTCCTTTTTTTCCTGCTCCTCGTTGTTCGAGGTAATGCCGATAGTCTTGGTGCCGCGGACGCCGGAAACACCCTGCTCCCCAACCCAAAAAATGCTGCCATAGATAACACCCTGCTGACCCTTTTACATACCGAGGAAAAGATGAGGAAACAAGGAAAGATGCTATGCGCAAAAGTGATCGTGATCCGTCGTCAAAGGATTTTAGCCTTGCCTGCACCGCCTGTTTTGGTGACGACAAGAGTTGTCTTGGTCATTCTCCTCGAGCCAACAGATGCCAGATAGAGGAGGGTTCAGACCTCGAGCACAGAGGAATACCTCTCGCTCCGTGCTGACAGAGCAGAATCCACCAATGTAGGTGGTCAAGCACGGAGGGTTGGTCGTCGAGATCCGTGACATTTAGATCGCCCACGCGATAATCTAGATCGGCATTTTCAACCTAGTGGGAAACGTCAGCATTCACGTCAAGAGAATATTATCTGCCTGGATCACATACCACAACAAAGCACCTTCATCATCTTCTGGAAAAACCCTGGTTGCTGTTCCTGTTGTTGTGTGGTTCGGCCCTGGTTATTCTGCAAGGCCCCTGTCGCGGGGCTCGTCCTCGCCTGCTGGTTCACCAAGTTGGCGTTGCTGTTTTGGAACTGCGCCTGAGTACTTGCTGGAGGCGTGTTCATGTCCAGTTGGCCCGCTAGGCCACTGCTTCTCTTTGGGAGATTGCCCCCGGCGGCGCCGCTTGTGCGATCTCGAGCGCTCTTCCCCATGGCCGCTACTCCCGGCTTCGCTGGTGACCCTGGGGGCGGGGGCTGCGCTGCGTTTAAACGGTCGGCCGATATTGCTGCTCGGTCTCGCGTAGGTCGTTGACCATCTGAACCTCGGACGCCAGAAGCCCCGTGCAATGCACGAGCAGAGGCATCGGCCGGGGGATTGGTGTTGTGCAGATGAAGTTGCGACGGATGTTGTTTAACAGCCTCCCATCCGCGACCGCCGTTCAACTTCATCCAGTCATATTCACCATCCTCCACCTCGCCCGTGTTCTTGAGCGCTTGGGTGAACAGATCCCGAAGGAAGTCGTAGTCCGGAGTGTCCTCGAAGCCCAAATTACGGACATAGCTGAGATATTTGTTAAACTCCTCTGTCACGGGAATCAGCAAACAAGTTCTGAAAATTGAAGACAATTAGTCGGTGGTTTCTTACCCGGAAACCCTTCGCATAGATCCTTGATGGCTGTTGTCTGCTTCTTCTCACCAATCTTCTCATACTTTTGTTTGTTCGTGGCTGCCTTCAGGCCCTGCCATGGTAGCCCGCCTCTCAAAAAGTACATGAAAACATGGCCCAGAGCTTCCAAGTCGTCTCGTCGTGACTGTTCTCGTCCCAAATGTGTATTGATACTCATATAACGTGCAGTGCCCGATAGCGATTTTCGTTCACGGTAAGGGATGTGTTGCTTGGTTTTTGGATCTCTATATTGTTTGGCCATTCCAAAGTCGACGACGTGAATGACGTTAGCAGCCTTGGTCCCTGGCCGGCCAATGAGGAAGTTGTCAGGCTTGATGTCGCGGTAAATCAAGTTCTTCTCATGGATCGTCTGTACTCTCGACAGCTACCAACAAGTTAGCATCAGCAGTTGTTTCGGAGGGAGAGTGTTTGGTACCATCTGCTTGGCAACCATCACCACCGTTTTGATCGAGAATCGTCTGTTGCAGTGGTCGAAGAGGTCTTCCAAACTTGGGCCGAGGAGATCGATCACAAGAATATTGTGGAGGCCCTCTTGGCCAAAGTAGTAGACATTGGGGATCCCGGCTGGACGACAAAATCAGTTTTCCAGGTACAGAAACTCATAATGGGACAGGTTTAGCATACGACAGCCGACCAGGATTTTGTATGTCCTGTATTCATCGCGCAGCTGAGGGGCATCACTCTTTCTTGGTTCCTTTTTTTTGCCATTTCGTTAGACTGGTAAACAATGATGGTCGTTCCGACAACATAACACTCACAAACTTGATTGCTACTTGTTGGTTGTTGAGTAGATTGGTGCCTTCAAAAATGACACCGAAAGAGCCCTCTCCTATTTTCTTCCCGACGCGATAGTGCACCCCAACAACGTTGGAGGACGACGAGGCCATGGTTGTGACGAATAATTCCACTGACTAAGTGGTATGCCGGGATAGCGAGGAGTGAATTTGTTCGACAAGAATGCTATTCTGCAGAGAAGGGAGGGCGTCGGAAGGGCTGTATAGGTACAAAGTGCGAACGATGCCTTAGGGCGGTTCACACCTCCGCCACCGCGGTGACTGCAACAAATCAGTAAACACGCAACAATACTTTTGCAAGCAACAAGAAGTGGGAAGAGGGGGCCATCTTACGCTTCTAAAGAGATCAAGCAAAGCTATCGGATCATGCGGCGGGATATTGTGGTGATCAATGGAGGCTGAGGATAGGAAAACACCATCTGCAGGATGAGTTGGGTTTCTCGACAAGGAGTTCAGTCAGAATTGAGCAGCTCCTGCCAAGACTGCGCAGGGAGCCAGCAATGGCTGGATTACTCTTCTGGCTCAATGGCTACAACCGCAGCCTGCCACCCACTGGAAATGTGGAACCTGACACCCTTGCACCCTGGGATCAGGAACCTTGACTTGGCGCCAGATATCAGAGCCTTCGGACCTTTTGCTGATGTCAAACTTGGGGGTGGATCAGGACAAGTGAGCAAGCGATATATAATGAGGGAGTCATGTACTGCAGACGATGGACAACAAGAAGGTGAGAGATTAAGTAGGAGGAGGGGGGGAAGGGAAGGGAACCAGTAGTAGAGAGACAATACGAGTGCGCCTAGTACATAGCATTTGGTGAGTGTGAGCTGGCGGATAGGTCAACTGCAAGTAGGCGTCAGTTGATTTTGCAACATCTCCGTCCCCAGTAGCAGCCCACCAGCCGCAACCCCAAGCATCAGCGGTGGGCGGTGAGATGGCTCCAACCGGGGAGAGGGCGAGGACTCCATCCAGTGAATTTTGTATTTGCACAGGCGGTAAGTCCGACGCCCGGCCGCTAGGGCCTAGCAATTAACCGCCAGAGCAAGTCTTAGGGCGCAGTTGGGCCACGGCAATGGCTACCCACACCTACCACCACCACATATTATCATCTACGAGGTACTCGTACCTAATACTTTCCCAGCGCACCCCAGACACTGATCACGCCAGGCGAGCTCTAGGCTTCCAGACATCCACACTTCCCGGATGTCCCATTCTGGCTGAACCGCCCAGACTGAGCTCGGAAAAAATCAAGAATAGCAAAAGATCATGTAATCTCTACTCATTTCATCGTTCACACCTATTACATGTCGCTGCAAGGTCGAGCGACCATTGACATCTGAGCGGCAATAGTCCTTCGAACCCTTGATTGTGCTTTTGACTGGCTCAGGATCCGCCACGCTTGATGAGGCGCCGATATCGTTGTTGACAGGAAGGCCAGAGATATGCAGATCAGTGCATGCAACCGAAGCTCGTCCTCTGTCGATCTTCTCCATACAATTACAAGTAGTTCCAGCTTGCCTCCCCTTTTGGAAACCCCATCTTTAGAGTAATACAAAGGTGCCATCTTCTCGAACATTACCCAGCCACCATGCACTCATTCTTCGGTTACTCTGCATTCCATCCTTCATTCTACCTTGCACATACATCCCCAAATCCAGGGCTGCCATGCCGGCCATCCTGCAGTGACATTTGTTCGATTCTCGTACCACATGCGAGGTATCAAATACCCATGCTAAACAGTCCTCACTAATTTCATCCTGGACCCGCTTCGGACCTTCCTGTCTCGCCTCTCTTAGGCTGCGGTCATTTGCCAGGGGTACCGAGTTCGAGGTACTTTGTTCGCTTTATTTCTTTGCCGACGGTGCTGTAGGAGAGTTGCCGCCACCTCGGGTTGACTGACTGCCAAAGCGCATCACCTTTCGAAGTGGGGATGGTGTGGCTGGTTGAAAGGCCAACGATGCCATTGTCGACTTCAGGTCAGCCGTATCCTTTCTCTTAAAAAGTCCTCCAAAATGTAAACTCTTACTTTTCTTCACCATTTTTCCTTTGCCACTGTCCGTGTTGCCCTGTTGATTACCGCTACGTTGGTACAACGGTGATTCCGCCTGCGGTCTGCTGTGAGTAGAGGTTGTGGACGTGTTTTCGGACTTGGATTTCGAGAACAATCCCACACCACTCCTACTCTTCTTTAATGTGCCGGCTTGTCCTTTGGCAGCGAGATCCTTTTTACCAGAGCTTTGGGTAGACACTGAATGCCCGTCTTGGTCTCGACTGCCTCCAGAAGGGACAGCCTTTGCTGGGCGAGGTGTATCGCGAGCATACTGGCTGAGATCTCCGAGAGACGGTGAATAGATGGGGGCATCTTCGAGTGAAGTCGTATCTGAGCCTTCACGGTCCTCGCTGTTGGGGGTTGGTGTGTGTCTCCGCGGAAAGGTGAGAGGTGCGTTATGGTCAAGGGACAATGCTTGTGATGCTTGATCTAGGACGGATGGTGCTACAGCCATGGCTCCAGGCGGATGCATACGTAACGGGTTGACTCCTCTAGGGTATCCAGCTATCGGCGCCGCAGGCACATAACCATTCTTTTCGGCCGAAAACACCAATGGCGCGACCGCAGTCTGTCGGCCTGCCTGGACTTCTCGGTTGGGCCCGAATTCTTGTGATTGAGAATCGTGTTGCCCATCATGTCTCGCTGCTGAGGCTGGCTTTTGAAGATGGCCCTTGGGATTGAAACTGCCCAAAAGATCTGATTGGGATGACGCAGCTATCGCTCGAGCGACTGGAGGCGCTGGCTTGGAAGGCGAAATTGGTGGGAATTGCCGGCTCGTCTCATCTTGATTGTTGCCTCCATTCCCTCCTTGCTTAGAATGGAAGAAGGAGGATCTGGACCTGAGGAAAGACATGTTGCGTGGCAGACTAGAGTAAAAGTCCAGTTTATCAACGGCACTGGCAAATGATCTGGTGAGTGAACCAAACCCAGACTCATTGTCGCTGTGTTCGGAAGCGAAATCTGTCGGGGGAAGGTCTATGATGTCGCCGCGACCAAGAAGAGGCGAGTCTCCCCCTCTTGATTCTGCTGCACCTTTGTCGGTGTTCACAGACTTGCGTCGAATGTGACCATTTCCTGTGATGCCTTTGATCTTCCCTTTATAGAGATTCAATGTTTCTGCTCGCGAATGGGGCAAATCTCTCTTCAACGTCGGCACTTCATCGCCTTGCACATCTCCAGGTGTCTCCGGAATTTGCTTGTGCTGTGCCGTTATGCCTGCTGGGCGTGAAGTTCCGTTTCGAATCTTACTCCTGATGGCATTCCTCAGTCGCAAAATCCTTCCGCGTTTCGATGTCGTCAGATTGGCAATGCCCCCGGGACTTTCACCACAACGTCCACTGGAAGCTTTTGCGTGACGCGATGACCCTTCACTGTCCTCATTGTTACTTGCTACCCAGCCAACTTGCGAGTTCCAAGAGGATTGAGCAAAAGCCACATCAAACATTTCTCCACAATGGACTCCTTCCGCTCGAGCCACGGTGATATTCGTGGTACTGGTGAGGACGGGAGCAGAAATGACACTCCGAGCGACCGTGGAAGTACTGGCGGTCTTTGGTAATTGAGTGGAGATGCTGCGAGGATATGGACTTTGAGGGGATAAACGCGAAAAGGGCAGCCACGATCTGGGACGCAGTCGATTTGTTCGACGGCGGGTGCTCTGAAATGGCAGCACAGCAGCCTCTGCATCTGACTGAGTCTGCTGGCCCTCGTCATGATCTCCCAGTCCTTGTGGTGATTGAGGAGTTGACTTGACAGATTCCTCCACGACATGGCCGGGGGAAATCGGCTCGGGCGAGGCTGGCGGCTGATTTTTGGGATCACATCGATAAGAGAGGCTTGACTCTGTTCGATCACGCAGTTCGTCCTTTGAGGGAATCCGAGATGCTGGAATGAAAGGTCAGCCGGTGATAATGTGACTTCGAGAATGTCTTACCTTGTCGTGAACCGGCACGACTGAACGATCGAATAGTGTCAAAGGAAAAGATGGAGAATGAGCCTTTGCTCCGAGATCGTGTGTGGGAAATCATGCTGGCCCAACAACGACACAAATCTTGTCACAGGACGATCATTATCTTTGTGGTTACGCCTGAGCCATGTGCCTCCCACGACAGCGAGGTGAGGAGCTGAAGAGGGAGGTCAGTAGATGAGCCTAACTGGAGGCTCTACGAAGCTGAACGAAGGCGCAGAAGCATCTTTCACGGAGCTGACGATGGCAATTGAATTAAAGCTGAGGAAAAGTCATGGCCATGGCAAGCCCATCCCGACGCATGCAGTGGCAGGTTGCAGGCGCAGGCGCAGGCAAGACGAAGTGCTGGTGTCATTGTCATTCGGGAAGGAGCGATACTGCGATGATGCTACGAGGAAGTCACACCCCCAACCTCACATTGAATATTGTATTTCGTCCTGCTGGCATCGTCCTTTGGTGTAGAAGAACAATCTGTCTCATCTTTGTGTCCACGTTTACAATTGTCAGGGTAAGCCGTCATAGTCTTGCGTGAAGTCTTAGCTTCTCCCTATACCTACAACGACCCCATTCGTGGGCTGCACCGACAGTCATGATCAACCGTTCAATCAAAGTATACGAGCCATGTGCCATAAAAGAAACTCGCGAGGCTCCCAATGGGAAAACACCTTGGCTAATACACCACAGCCAGTCAAACAACCGCGGCAATCAACGGCCTAATCGCGGTTTTCCGGACTCGTTCCGGGGACAGGGACGAGGGCACGGTCTTCTTTGCCTCGATGCCCCGCATATCGAGTCGAGAACCGGATTTATAAAATCCGATAACAACCTGCTATCTTCTACCAGAGTCGGACTATTAACGCAATTGACTCCCCTGCTATCTGAACGCGAGACCAGCCGATCCAAAGGAACCCAGCCATTTTCACCCCACCAATATGCCATACTCTCTCAAAGGCCGCAATGTTTTGGTGACAGGAGGATCGAGGCAAGTTCTCTGTCAGCTCCGGCATGAACATATGTGATTAACAAAAAGACGCCAGGGGTCTCGGGGCGCTGATCTGTGAGAAGTTCGCAGCAGAAGGATCGAACATTGTCGTGAACTATGTCAGCAGCAAAGACAGAGCCGACCAGGTCGCTGACAAGTGTAAAGGGCTGGGGGTCAAGGCTGTCGTAATCCAGGCTGTGAGAATGCCGAGCCACCTGAAACACAACAGATCGCCCTTTCTGACATACCAAAACCCAGGACATTGGAGTCGTCAGCGACACTGTGCGGCTAGTGAAAGAGAGCGTTGAGCAATTGGGAGGACTTGATATTATCATTAACAATGCTGGCTGGACCAGGTTCACGAACTTTGGAGACATCTATGATATGAGCCATGCTGAATGGGACAAGGTACGGTAATGATGCTCAGCCAAGTATCCCTTTAGCTCACTGCCACAGTGTTGGGCCACAAACGTCATGTCCCACCTAGTGTTGATGCAGGAAGCTGCTCCGATCTTCAACAAGAACCCGGATGGCGGCGTATTCATCATCTCTTCCTCTGTTGCGGTAGGTTGAGGATTCCTCGAACCAGAGCAGTTACTGAAGTTGGGCCAGGGTATAAGCTGCGGCGGAAGCTCGATGGCGTACTCCACCAGTAAAGCTGCAGGTCTACATCTGATGAAATGCCTCGCCTCTACACAAGGGCCAAAGATCCGTATCAATGCCGTGCTGCCAGGTCTTCTCCTGACGGAATGGGTAGGTCTTTCTGTATTTGCACGTGCGAATGCAGAACAATGGCATTAACACCGGCAATTAGGGTCTGAAATTCAGTGAGGAGCGTATCCAGGCTGTTAAGAACAGCGCCGCTCTTAAGCAAGAGGTATGTCCGCTTCTCCGGATGATATCTGCTCAACTGACAGCCTTCGCAGACTTTGCTCGACGACTGCGCAGATGCCTATATTTCGCTAGCGAAGAATACCTCTATGACCGGCCAGCAGGTTGTCGTCGGTGAGTTCCACGTAATGCCCATCCTTCTAGAGGGAGTCGCTGACGAAGACTAGATTCGGGCGTTGTCATTCGTTAGACCGCTGGGATCAATTTTTGGTGGAGGTGCCGTGCATTCAACGAATGGTGGTTCTGGAAATCCAGAGATAGGGTGGGAGAAACGATACAACCTGTACTGGCCAAAGATTTCGGGCTGTGAGAAGAGTTTAGCACGGGCGGCTGCTCCTGCGCCTGGACCTTTTGCCCTGGACGAGACAGTGATGGTGGGAATGACAATTTGGCACCCCTCTTGATATTTGTCTGGCCGCGCGTTGATGATTAGAGGCTCTGAACTCTCGTTGACATTCTCGTGTGCAGCAATAATTGCGTAGGGAACCCCAGCCGGCATTGCTTGCGCTGCCACCCGGACTTCTTCTGGGACGTCTCCATCTCTTATATCCCTCATGTCCGCTCCGAAATTGATACGGAGCACCTGGGACGGCTCGGGGCCGAACCTCACGAAGCCATGAAGAGACTGAAGTGCCCGGTTTCGCCTGAGGATCTCGGGTTTCGTGAGTGCCTCAAAGTCGATGGCGCATAGCTCGCTCGTGACCTTTGGAGCACGCGTCGGGTCCTTGCCCGCCATGTTGCTGGTACCCACGGCATTGTGAGGCGGAATGTACAGACGGTTCCGGATGGCATTGACCAACATCTGGGCGCCAATGAGAGCTAGGTAGCTCGTGAGTTCTTGTGCCGTGATGTCGTCGGGCTGCGGGATTTCCAGCCCTGGAGGCGGTGTCTGGTCCAGGACGATGCCCTCGTCGAAGCGCGTCGGGTGGAGCGTCTGCAGCGAGACACCGGTCCTCTCTCGACCGAGGATGATGGCCCATTGGATCGGCGCCGGGCCCCGGAGATCCGGGAGCATGGACGGGTGGACGTTCAGACCACCGTATTTCGCGGCCCCGAGGATTCGCGGCGGGATCAACAGGCCAAACGAGACGGCGACGATCAGGTTGCAAGCCGCCGCTGTGGTGGGCGGACTCCACCCCCTGAACGTGTCGATCTGGTGCACGGGCAACCCCAGCTCCTGCGCGGCGGGCTTGATGGCCGGCGGCCTGACGAGCTTGCGGCCCCGGCCGACTCGCTTGTCGGTCCTGGTCACGACGTCGATGGAGCGGACGTTGCTGCCGGGGGTCTTGGAGTACTGGGCCAGGGCCTGCAGCGAGGCCACGCTGAACTGGTCGGTGCCGCAGAAGAGGATTCTCAGGGGGTCGTTGTCGACGTCATCACTTCTGGCGGACTTGAGGCTGGAAAAGTGGCGTCGTCGTTGTCGACAAGCAGTACCAACAGTAGCAGCAGTAGCACATTTCCCAAAGCTCCATTGCGACACGTGTGCCCCTCGTGCGTGTGACCGGGCTGCCACGCCGAGTGGAAACAGCCTCATAGGTGGTATTTAGCCCCAGGGGGTTGAAAATCCTCAAATCTTCCAAGGTAGAGTGGCGTTCATGGCGTCAAGTTGGATTGTGAGTGGAAAATAGGGAGTCGGGAGTATCTGAGAATTGGTGAAAGCTCAACTCGCCAGGTTGGGTAAATATCTATTGCCGCTTTATATTTTCCAGCAGAAAGTCTAAGTGTATGGCGATGTTATTGGCTACTAATTAACACCTGTACTAAAACGGCTGGAAAATGTGCCTAGTTTGAGAATAGGACCTGTCCCGTCCCAGACTCTTCATTCTCACGCACATTCATGGACATGACAGGTCATCCTTTGCAGGCCCTTTTTGGTTTTCTTCTAGGGATCCCGGACATAGCAGAGGCACCCTCTAACTCTAAAGGTCCGTCTCGTCAATCTATGTTTCCCGCAGCGCTAAGACGTCCAGACACTCGAACCATCTCCAAGCGAACCAAATATACTCCGTATGCACACTACACCCCTTCCGCGGCGTCGAGAAATCCCCGGTACGCACTCTGGAAATTGTCTACCGAGCCAGATACCGAGACCACTCACGGCCACAGACCAACTGCAAGTCCTGACGAGCCTCCACGTTTTGATATCCCTGGAAATCGCTGGCAAACTCCATGCGCAGACTCCTGGCGGACTCTTTGGTCTCTGCATCGGCCGCCCCGGTCTCGGCGGTGAGGAGACAGACGCCGAGGGCAGATGCGCCGAGCGGTCGGTACGGAGACGCGAGTCTGGACAGATTGATGATCTCGAGGGAAAATTCGTGCGACTCTTGCAGGATCTCGGCCGCGTCGAGGCTCACGGCCAGCCGTGTCTCGTTGATGAGGATGGCGATGGCCAGGACGAGGGCGTAGGACCGCAGGAAGTGGCAGTGCGCCAGGCCGGCCAGGTGAGGCTTTCGTGGGAACACGCTGTCTGGGTTCGCCGAGACTTTCTCCCATCGCTGCCGGACGAGGGACAGTGCGGGCTCGAGTTCTGCGCGGAGTGCATGGGCCTCTTTCTCCAAGTCGGCCAGTTGATCCTGGGAGTCCAGGTCCCCCATCAGGAAGGCCTTGCTTCGACGCATCAGATTCGGCACACGGGTCAAGCGTTGTACCGCCTGGCCTTCTGGACTGAGGTCATACAGCTGGCTATCGAACATGGACACCCACTCTTGGTCGGTGAAAGTGATGCGGCCATTGAAGAGGGAGTCAAAAAGCTGGAAAGGGTGTCGAACGTCAGCGACTGCAGAACCTTTGGCGCCTCCGGACGGGGCACTCACCACAACGGCACGCAGACTGAGGAGTAGATTGGACTCGAAGGGGTCGTGGTACTTGTCCACATTGCCTCTCAATTTGAGAATCTGGGCAACACCATCCGCGTGTGCGGTAATCGGCCCATTCCGCTGCCATATGAACTGCTAGAGTGGCTGAGAGTCAGCAACAAAACATTAGGGCAGCACCGGGTCATCAGGCTTTGGACAGAACTCACCTGGCAATTCCACAGGAACAAAATGGCGCAGAGCGTCTCCGGGCTTCTCGCCTTGACGGGGTCATCCAGACACCTTCTCAGACTGGCCAAGGTTTGCCCGTACTTTTCCAACAGAACGGGGTTACTTCTCTTGCCGAGCGGATCCGTCAGCGTGGCAAAAGCTGTCAGAAAGGTGTCGGTGGCACTGTCCAGAGCCTCGTTCACGCCTAGACGAGCCGGGACGTGGTTGAGGTAGTCGCCGTACGTCCAGGCCAGATTGTACTGCACGCCGAGGGTGGGTTTGATTTTATCGGCAAAGGCACTCGCGAGTCGAGCCGTGTCGTTGACCGGGGATCGAGATATCGTGAGCAACTCGAAACTCGGCGGGCTCTGAGCGGCGGACCCCGTCCCAGTCCCAGCAGCTTCTGGTGTCCGAAGTGAAGCGTCGCCCGACGGCGTGGTTGACGCCCTGTTGCTGTTGTTGTCGGACACGAACTTGTAGCGACGCCTCCCGAGTCCGACGCAGGGGATATTGAGCCGTCTGCACCGCGGACACGGGTGCGTGGTGGGATCACACTAGATTGAGGAGGATAGACGTTGGAGCTTAGCATCACAACACCGGACCTCATTGTGTTTTCCCTTGGGAATACCTTTTTCTTTTGCTGCCGACATGCATCGCACCCTCGTCCGGAGGGAACACCAGGCATTCTGGACCGCGACCATCGCGCGCGCGCGGGTGGGCGACGGCAACGACAATAAACGACAACGAGGGAAAACGAATATCCTTTCTAGTTGGGTCTGGGGAGAAAAGAGAAGTAAGTACCCTTCATACACACGTATACCGAGTACACACGTACATATGTCGTGCTTTATATATGGGTGTGTTTTAAGGCCCCCCGGGAACGATTTTGATTCCCCGACGGAGAGAACCGGTGTAGATTGGTCTGGGTCGGGGTTGGGGATGGACCGACAGCACACAAGTACCAAGTACACAGCATTGGCATTGGCATTGCAGATCGGTACGGGTACGTATAATACGCATGGTACGTCTGTACCAAGGACGTACAGTGGCGCCAGTGGCAACAGGTTGGTAGCACAGCAATTGCATAGCCACAATTCTACACCTCCGAAGCGACAGTGACGGGGACCACTGGAGGCTATTCGTTACATGGCAGCACGGCCAGCCTGGGCTCATTATTGGGCATTTCAACCATTCTACAAAGTAAGTAGGTCTTTAGGGATTTTCATTCCTTGTGATCGACCCATGCTATTATTATGCCCCGTGGCTTTGGAAAAAGGTCAAAAGCTCCCCAAAAAAGTCCGGTTGAGATTTGGATCTATCAGCCGTAGTGTCCGTAAGGCTAGAGCTTATTGTGCAGTCTAGTTTGTCTTGACAAGCCTCGTCCTCCATGCCGCAGGGCTGACCGCGACCGCGTCGCCGCTCTCATCCAGATCAAACACGAAAAGTCCAAAACCGATGCCGCCATACGTCGGCGAGTCACCCGCGAGCCAGTCAACGTTGGCGTTATATTGTCGAGAGAACAGTCCGCCCGAGGGAGCATGAAACGAGGAAGTCCTGAACGCGACACGTCCGTTGGCTCGATCAGATATCGAGTGCAAGAGCCTCACAGGGCCGTCACCGAGTAAGCCACTCGCCAAAACATCCGTGCCGTTGCTGACAAAGTCGCTGATCACCAACCCGGGTTTCCCTTGTGGGTTGATGGCCAATGTCAACGTGCTGTTGAGATTCTCGTCTTCTGAGGTGTACGTGCCCACAAAACCCTGTCGCGCCTCAGCTTGCGCCTCAGCAGCCAAAGCGGGCAGCATCTTTTCAGTGACGAGGTCCGCCATGAAAGCAGTCAATTGAGAACGCTCGGGTAGAGAGCTCGCGCCGATGATGCTGAAGCCTGCATCAAAGTCGGGGATGAGCGCTATGTAGCCGCCAAAGTAGCCAGAGTCGCCCAGCTTCGTGTAGATGTCGGTGACATGTCCAGTCTCCGGGTGTGTGTAACGGTATATCTCCCACGGTCTGCCTATCGAGTATTCGAGCAAGGCAGTGTGCGTGACTGGCTTCATCCATTTGCGTGTCTGGTCCAGGTCAAGAAGGGTTCCATTCAGAATAGCTGTACCAAATCTTGCAAGGTCATTCGTGGTGGAGAAAAGGCCACCCGAGGGTATCGTCACCTCGAGAGCTTCGCCGTCTGTCAATGCTGCTGTGGTGACATTTCCAGGAATGACGTACTGGCTGTATTGGGATGCATTGGGAACCTGGGAGAATGAAGAAGCCATTCCCAGTGGGCTGAAGATACTTTCGCGGTAGACATCGTGAATCGAGGTACCAGTAATGTTGGCTATCGCCGCACCAAGCAACATATACCCGTAGTCTGTATATGCTGGACTGGTCCAAGGCTGGAACAGCGGTGGTCGACCTGCGGCGCCCATTGCGTATTCATTGTTGGAGCAGTTCAGATTCCCCGCGAGTGCAGAGACCAAGCATGGAGGGGCGGCCAGCGGGTCGCTCTCATTCAGAGGTGGCAGCCCGAATGTATTCAACAGCACATTGGCGCCGACGAGATACAGATAATCCCCCGGGTCAAAGGGTGTAACGTCTCGTGGATTGCCTGCTATTTGACTGGCGAGAGCTGCAAGCGTGACCTTGTCCCAGGCGACAGTAAGCGTAGAATCATTCTCTGCCGGATGCGCTGCTGCATACGCTGCAAACGTCGGGATAAAGTCGGTAATGGGACGATCCCAATCACTGTCGTTCAAATTGAGCATACCCGCAAAGGTCGTGAAAAGTTTGGAGATGCTGGCGACGCGGTATATGCTGTTCCCGTCCACTTTCTTCAGACCAGTGGTTGAGTTGGCAATCTCTTCGGACGTGTGATGAAACTGCAACGACCTGGCAGCAGAGGCGTCGTGGATTGAGAACATGCCCAGGGAGAAGGTGATGTTTTTCAACCCAGCAGGACTTGTCAGATTGGTGCTTGGATTCCTGATGAACCCATTGAGAGTCGAGGTGAGATTCGTCCAAGCCGTGGAGACACGACTACCATTGCTGGCAAGATCCGTAGGAGCTGGATAGGTTGGGCCCAGGAAGTCACCGAGGACGCCCTGGGCAGAGGCTGAGATGAGAAGCAAAGTTTGTAGAGTGAGATGCATTCTGATATGACTTTGTCGCAATAGTTGTGGAGGTATTCATGTGTCGAGGCCATGGGTTTGACCACTATATATATACCTCGAACAGCAAGCACCGTCCCAGGCAGATGTCCTTGGCGATATGCTCCAAAGCCTCCATGGCCGACGTCAGAGACAGCGTCGGTCAATTCCAAGCCGCAAGATCCACAGTACTAGCTGATCCCGAGAGTTGCATCAAGGAAAGAGTCTGAGGCACGAGTTGCGCTGCTCAACGAGACAAGCCTGGCAAGCGAACCATCGCTGTAGGAGCTAGTCCCGATTTGGTTCTATGCAGCGCTCCGGTGGCAACTCCATCAATGGCACTGCAGTGGCATGAATTTCCAATCCGGACGCCTAATGATGGCATTCTGCCTTGAGCTAAGCATTGGTAGATTGTATCGTGCATTCTTTAGCCACAAAATCCCAGTTTTTGTGAGCAGGTGAGCCTTGCGAATGCTGGTCGATGGGCCTGACATGGACATCAATTGGTTGTTGGCTTTGACAGTGGCCGTTGGGTCTTTCGAGATGGCAGTGTCGGTGCAAATTGGCAGCTGAGTGGAGATTGTGTCAACTTGCGCATCTGCTCAGAGAGCACGGATGTTGATGATCGCTTCTTTGAGATGATGTTGAGGTTGAAAAGGACCTCTGGATATACTCGTACTCGTATAGACAATAGAGATGATGAGCATATTTCCTCATACGGCATATAATCGGCACTAGTCCATATTCTCCCCAAAAATCTCTAATAATCGTCCTTCCCTTTTCGTCATGCCCACAGGCTCGGTGAAGTACGTACCTCGGTTTGCGGGGTCCAGAGTCAAATCCACCTGCTCACTTCCAAGTTTCACAACCAGGCCGAGCCTCGTCCTCTGGGTGCTAGACACAATTGCGATACTCACAAGGTGCCCCCTTTCTTGCTGTTGAGATCCTCTTCCGTGCTTCGAACATCCAGAGCCTCTCCTCGACAGCTCTCAATTCGTGTCCTCCGCCTCATCACCAGCCGCAAAGGACGACATACAAGTGCCGAACTCGACGTCACCCGATTGTCAACGCAGTGTGCGCTCGACTGTCTTGTCTTGGCTGGTATAGCCATTTACCAAAATGGCTGAACCGCCTCAGTCCTCAGATTCCAAGTCGCAAGCGACGACGGCCTCGCAACCAGAATCCTCAAGTCAAAAGCCTCCCGAAGCAGCCATAGATGAGGATTCAGATCCAGATTTTGACGACCTCGACGGTACGCATGCACGCGCAAGCTTGATCTATGCTCTTGCCTCCCTAAAACCAGATGGTCATCGATGCTGACATGCTCCGCTCCTCTAGATGTTCTCGATCAATTCTCCGCCGCTACCTCTCAGCAACAGTCAAAATCCCTCTCCTCAGAACCTGCCCCTTCATCCTCAGGTCCAGGCAGACCGTCGACCGAGAAATCAGCCCTCCCACCGGATTTACACATCCCCTCTGGTCCTCATGCCTCGGAATCAGATGATGAATTCATGGCCCGGCTGACCGCTGAAATGTCCGACGTCATGTCCAAGATGTCGCTCGATCCAGCCGCCAGCGCTGCAACACCTGAGGATCTTTCAAAGATGGGACGCGAACTCGAGGAATTCACGCAGAAAATGGAGGCCGAGGGCATCAAACCCGAGGACCTCCTGAAGGCCATCTTGGGGGAAGATGTCGGCGGGAAAGTCGGGGATATGGCACACGCGGAAGCGACGAGGAGGGACAGTGAGTCCAAGGCCAAGTCGAAATCACGGAGCCCGGAAGCGCCAGGAGGGACAGCTATACCCCCGTCAGAATCAGCATCGACAGGGTCAGCGACCGCGGCGAAACAGGGGTCGAGCTCATTCGAGGACACGATTCGGAAGACCATGGCGCGCATGGAGTCGTCCTCGGCGGCGGCGACGTCAGCGACGGCCAAGTCATCCCAGCAAAAATCAGAGGAGGACATGCTGGCTGAGATGCTGCGGGCGCTGGAGACCGAGTCCGGGTCGCAGTCGGACAGCGAACTGTCCAAGATGTTCCTGGGCATGATGGAGCAGCTGACCAACAAGGACATGCTGTACGAGCCCATGAAGGAGCTGTCGGAGAAGTTCCCCGACTACCTGCAGACGAACCAGCCGCCGAAACTCGCGCAGGCCGAGCACGAGCGCTTCACACGCCAGCACGTCATCGTGCGCACCATCGTCGCCAAGTTCGAGGAACCGGGCTACAGCGACGACGACCCCAAGTGCCGCGAGTTCATCTGGGAGAAGATGCAGGAGATGCAGAGCGAGGGCGCACCCCCGGACGACCTCGTTGCCAATCCCCTACCGGGTATGGGCGGATTGTTGGGAGGTGACGGAGGCGAGGGTCCGGAAGAAGGATGTCCAACTCAGTAGGTGACGAGTGGTTGAGCCAGCCAGAGAGAGAGCGTGTATGGCTAGAAAGGTTTAGCAACTGCTATACATGGCCCGTTTGTTTGTGACGTAGAAAGCCGATGGATGGGCACAGCCTGCGCAGGCGACCACGACGCGTGGGGCCAAAAAAAGAGAGGTTCAAAGTCTGACTCGTTTGAAAGGAATGCTTTATTCGAAATAATACAGGACCGAGTACACCGTGGAGCAATCTGAGCCAATATGTATTCTGCCTAGGTCGTTCCGAGCAGTGCTCGTGATACCACATACACATTTTCACTTGTACGTCCACACACACACACACACCCTCTTATATCCCGAGAATCTGACCGACGTCAGTGGCCCGCAATCGAGTAAGTGATATAATGCAATACATTAGAACCTCTGTAGGCAGGTTAGGTATTTCGAGTAATTCGGTAGAGAGGACTTTTTTTTTTTCATCTTGGGGGGTTTAAAAGATATCTACTATGAGAGGATAGAACGGTTTCGCAGAATCGGCGGCAGGGGAGGTAGATGTGCAGGTGCAAGAGGAGAGAGACATGTTTGTCTTTCTCGGTCTATTGGTGTTGAAGAGAAGCTGGTAACGAAGAGACTGTCTTCATGGTTTAATGTCTTGACAGTATCGACATGTTTGACATGTCTGGCACCTTGGACAGCATCATGGCATCGTGGCGCCGCCCTCAAGACAGGCCCTCAATCTCACTCAATGCTGTATGTGTGTATCTATGTGTGTATGATTGTCCACGGTAAACGTGCCATTGCCAGACTGTGCTCTTGCCAAACTGTGCTCCTCTCACAATGTTTGTACAGATGGGTACCCAGCGAATGCCACCATGTGACCTTGCACGACTACTCGGTACATCCGCAACAATTCTCAGCTTTCAGAGTCTGGTACCGCAATTTCTCCCAAAAAACCTCAGACATAATCAAGACAGATCCATCGTTTCAGCATTGACTGTGTTCACATGCTGCGGCAGCTGCGGCAGCGGAGGCTCGCCAGGAAGAGAAGTCTGCGTCGTATGCAGACTCGTTTGACCGAGGACTCGTTCGTTTTCCGGTCGTGGCGGTTGAGATGCCGGTAGGTTTTGTGATAGAGGCTGCGAGTGCTGAGACAGGATCTCCATCTCTCTAAACAATCGCTCATATTCTTCGTCCTCGGCATCTTCGACCACAAATTCATCATCCTTCACCGTTTGGAGTTGCTCTTGCTCATATTGCCGTATCAACTCATCCACTTCGATATCTTCCTCAAATTCTTGCGTCGGGCTTAGCTCCGGTTCTTCTTCGTCGTCGTCATCGTCATCTTCGCTCTCCACCTCCTCTTCTTGAGCAGCCTCCATTGCAGCTCTGCGTGCCATTTCTCTCTCCCAGACCCTCCTCTCTTTGACAAAATCCATTCGCAACACCTGCTCGCCGACCTGTTCGGATCTGTCGTCATCTCTTCTCCGCCGAATGCGATCTAGAAACTTCGACTTTCTTTGTTCTCGACTTCTGTTGGTTTGACTGTTCAGAAGAGATGACGGACTCGACGAGCGGGAGCGCAGTTCCCATTGTGACGGATTCTGATGGCCCGAAGTCGTCGAGATACTTGGGCGCGGGATACTGGCGAACGAGGTAGATGGCGAGGGATCGAAAGTTGATTGCTCGTGCGAGAAGACCGTTGAGCCGAATTTGCGGTTCGAGCCTGAATCAGGCGGCGAAATCAACGATGCCTGCCCGTCACATCCATATGTTCGGAAATCCAGCTTTCCTGTAGGTGTCTCGTGCACCTTCGAACGGAAGCCAGAGGCCGTCGCAGTCTCAATTCCTTCCTCGTTCTCACTCTCCATGCTGTTCTCATCTTGATGCTCCGACAAACCACCCCGCAGAGGCGACGAACTCAGCAAGCTACTACAACAATCGCCCTTGCACTGTGGAGGGGACGGCATCAGGTTCGCATTCCTCGTCGTCCGCAGCGGCGAGGGCGAGTGTGGAGCGTAATACGCCCGAGCGTGCGCCCGCCCGTAGGTATTGTCGTGACTGGGAGAGTTTGAGAAAGTCGGGTGGCGGGACTTTTGAGAGGTCGAGGGCAGGAAAAGGTTGGACTGCTGCGGCGCCGGAGAAGAAAGGAAGAACATCCTCTCTCCGTCTTCCCTGTGTCGTTCTTCTCTATCTGTCTGGAATGTCGTGTATCAGCTCTCTGGTAGACGGCCAGAGTCGAGGTTGACGAGAAAGACAGGGTCTGCTTGAGCATTTGGTCTTGTCTCTGTGAGTGGCTGGTCGCTACAACGGCTGGACGTACAACGGGCGACTCGAGAACCGAATGACGCGTGAGCGCGACCGTGTTCGGAGACCAGCCATTGGGAGACGAACTAATCCACATTTGGAATAGTCTGGTGCTCACACGACTGGCCCGAGAAAGGTACGACAATGAAAAGTTCTCGTACAACTACATCTCCATAGCATACGTAAGCGCTGGCTTACTTAAATCCTGGGTGAATCCTTCTTTGCATTATGATTATTATCACTGGTAGTACCGAGTAGACGTTGGAGGCTTCGCCTTGCTTTTATGCCAAGATTGACCTCGGACGATCATGAACTCTCAACTCACGCGAATTAACGGTGAAACATTGGAGGTAAAATGCGACACAACAAAAGGGAAAAGGGAAATTTGTATCTCTAGCTAGCCAATGCCTCAGACCACGCCTAGCCCCGATTTCCATATCCTATGTACAGCTTCAAACAACATAGGACATTGGTGAAAATAAGTGCTGAGCAGCACGAATTATGCCCCCCTAATACATTGGAAGCAGTTTCATTCACTGTAAATTGCCCTCCCGGCCGATCCGGGTGGGTCTTTGGTTTAATGGATTTTGATGTTTGGACGGATCCACGCAAGTTGCGCGCTCTCTCGCTAATAAAAGTCGAAGACCAAGTGCTGTCATAACGATCGTCAAGGGATTAGTTTGGTAGCTCGCGGCTTCTAAAAGTTTGACGCGGTGTTGACAGGTCCGGGAGAATGGTATTGATCCAGCGTGGAACGGAACGGCGTAGAATCAGACCCTGTGGTGCCGCTGAGTTTGTCTTGGTTGAGATTGGGGTCGTAGAGATCGTCGTCGTGAAGGGTCTTCTTCTTGCCCCAAATCCTCCAGGCGGTGTATGCCAATCCAGCAAGCAACAAAGCACCACCAACGCCGCCCACCACACCTCCAATGGTGGCCTTGGCTGTATCGCTGAGACCCGAACTGCCGCCTTTGCCGCCTCCACCCGTCAGGGAAGCGGGATCAACACTGGTTGTGACTGGAACCAGGCTGCTACCGGTGCTGGTAAGATGGACGGTGCTCCCTTCACTGACACTTGTGATTGTGGTAATGACCTCTTGGAGCGAGCTTGTAGTAATCAACGTCCTTGATGGAGTAAATGTGCTAGTCTCCGTAGAGGTGGACTTGTCCGAAGTGCTATCGTCCTCAGAGGAGGAAGAGGAGGAAGGAGTACGTGTGGATGTCGATGTGATCACAGTCACCGAGGACGATGAGGTTGGGGGAAGGGTGATCGTGGAGGATGTGGTCTCCGTGGTGGCAGAGGTGGTATCGCTCGTAACAGTAGTAGTGGTCGAGGAGTCGTCGTCGCTGCTGGTCGGAGAGCTAGTTGGGGTGGTGGAACTGCTGGTGTCGGAACTGCCAGTAGACAATGGGACATTTTGTCGTTTGAAGAGTGCTATAGCATCGTCGAGAGGATCTGCTGAAACGGCGGATGCACAGAGCAAGCTGAAAAGGACTACGGTGAGAGACCGCATCTTGTCGAGAAGATATGAAGCAGGGAAGGTTCGGATTTGAGGTACAAAGATGTTGAAACAATCGAGACCCGGCCTGGGAAGGCTTGAGGGCGCGAAGAGAGTGCGTCGGTGTCAAAGGTGTTAAGATATTCCCTCGAAGGCGAGGCAGGGCCGCGAACGAAGGGCCTGATCCTGGTGATGATCGAGGTAGCGAGAGGCACGTGTGCTTGGTGAGGGTTGGAAATTCGGTTCTACAAGAGTCAACGCAGGCGAGACGCTGATTGACGCTTGGTACTGGACAGATGATGGATGTTTAAGAAAAAAGCGATGGTAATAAGACAAAGGGGGGACAAAGCGAGGGAAATATGGGGGTGTGTGGTGTTTGAAAGGTGAGAAAGAAGGAGAATGGAAAAAAGAGAAAAAGTGGACAGTGTCAGGTGTGAATAAGTGATGGAGTGAGTGAATGAGGGAGTTGAATGAATCAAGAAAGCGTACTCGGTAAAAGCAGTAGGATGAATGGATGAATTGAGAGGGTTGCAATTCTCTAGGCGCAGTGTGAGAAAGCGAGACGAAACACTGCAGGGATTGCCCCAGAAGCCCAGCCAGAGGCCCAGCGGGATCCTCCTTGGGGAGCCTAGCAGAGCTTAGTGGAAGCCCAGGCGGTGCGATTGAATGGGCAATAATTGGCGCACTGCCTCCCGACGCAGGAACAGGGTTGGGCGTGTTTGCACCAATTGCACGCCTGGCTCGACTCCCCCATGGGTCCCTGCAGTGCCTCAAGTTTCTTTGCATCCGAGCAAACCTGGAACCCAACAAACAATCTTCTCCCATTGTTCCCGCCTGTGCATCATAGTCACCTCTTCCGTGCCGAGCATTAGCCATTTATTTACTACTCCGTACGAGTTTTGCACATCCCTGGGCGCGCCAGTGCGCGCTTGTCCCATGGTTGTCCATCCAGTGCCTATCAAGCCTATCCCCAAGGAGAAGGGCTGGTGAAGATTTCTTTGAGATGACGTACCCCTACCGACTACCGAGGACGCTTGCGTCGACTTCATGCATTGCACCAACTCTTCCCGCTGTAGCTCGCGTATGAATAGGCCGAACGTGACAAGAGGAGGAAAATACCAAGACCCAACTATGCACATGCAACTCGCAAGAGGGTTCTCAAAATGTCATGCGTTACCGAGACGTGGGCGGAAGAGAGAAGAAAAAAACTGCTCGTATCTGCATCTGTCACGCACACAAGGCACCATGCATGCGCATTTCGGGTGGCGTCTGTTACAGCGAATGGTGCGAGGTACTCCGTACCTAGTAGTTGTACCAACAAAACAAGCAGTAGATGCCGTTGGTCGACCTAGGCGAGAATCTCGGACATTCTTTCGCTTACGAGACAGATGGTGATTGTTTTGTGTATATACACAGTAATCAATGACCACACCAACGAGTCAGCTGGCATTGCCCACGTATGGGAATTGCTCTGAAAGAGAATCGAGGTTTGGGTGATGCACAGCAGTTTGTTGCCTAACCCGCGACAGATATACGACAAATCTTACTCAGATTCGAGGGCGAGATGGTCTCGAGGACTTCTTCCCAGTGACATGATCCGGCTCCCAGCATCCTCCGCCTCCTGCCCCTTTGCCACATGATTTAGATTTTTGTATTACCTGTTCCATAATTTGCGCCACATGATCATTTTTGTTTTGTGAACAAAGAACAGGACATGAACGCCATAGCAGAACTGACCGTGCCCGTTCCTCTCGAAGGCCCCAAGACCCATACATGGAGAGCGCCGTCCTGCTCAGAAATAGACCCCGCGAATATATCTCTTCATGCCGGGAAATTACCCTTTCGCACGGTAGTATGTGCACCACTTCCTGGATACTTCTCCTCTCTTTTTCATATCACTGCATGCTCTGGCGACTCCGCATTATCCTCCTCTTTTACCTTGTACAGGTGGAACTGGATGAAGATGGTGATGTCCTCGGCCATGGTTCCCAAACTGCCAATCAACCAAGGCAGATTCTTGATGACATATTTATGTTCGGTCGAGTGGCAGAGGATACCTGCGCCGTAGGTAAGGTTGCCCATCAGTGACAGGATGAAGAACAGCAGCGAGAGACCTGCGGAGAAGTCGACGAATCGGGGGACATTAGCCATAGAAATTCCCACGGTCAAATGTCAAATGGATTACACAGACAAACATCTCTTTCTTGTTGAGCTGTTCAGAACGAGTTGGGGGAGAGTGGTGGGAGGAAGTCATTTTTGGTTCTTTACCTTCGCAACTTCTATCCCTCGCATTCTTGATGATCTGAGGGATCCTGGCGCCCAGGTAGGCCACCGCGCTGAGGTACCCAAGCACCTGGGCACCGGCGGCCATCTCTTCTGAATCGGCACCGCCCGACGTAGGAGAGGGCTTCCACGCGCCGGACTCGTAGGCCAAAGCCCACCCAGCGGCACCGACGACGCCAATGGCCAACACGCTCATTGCGTTTCTGAACCAGAGCCTTGTGCCGGACTCGTCGCTTTCCTCGAGGACTTTGGCCAGCTGGTCGTGGTGGGCGGCGGCAAAGCTGCTCCGTCGGCGTCGTAGACTCACACTGCTCCGCCTCCGGTCCATCGATCCCGGGATTGTGATGCTGTTTGTGCGGGTGCGCTTGAGGAGGGGTTCTTCCTCCGAGCTCCCGTGCCTCGACTGCTCGCCGTCGGCAGCACCGCTAGGAGCCGCACTCGTCTCGCCATCAGCTCCCGTAGCAGCGGCGGCGACGGCACCACTGCCACTTGAAGCCGACGCCCGTGTAGAGAGCAGCGCCCGCGCTTCCCTCCTCTTGTTCCTGATGCCATAGTAGAGGCATTGCCCAATGAGCACACCGTCCGCGATGCAAAAGTAGACGCCGATGGCGACCACGACGGGGACGAGCCCGGCCCACAGGGCGCCGGCGAGGTTTGCGATGTCGCCCAGGAACCAGACGAAGATGAAGAGGAGGGAGATGGCCTCGGCAGAGCCGTTGCGGTAGTTTTCGATCAGCTGCGGCACGAGCAGGAATATCCAGCAGGCCAGCGAGATGGACCCAAATATGCCCGAGAAGGCTTCGCGCGTGGTGAGGGGGAGGTCGCCGTTGGTGGAAGGGGAGCTCGATAAAAAGCTGACGAGCGACGCCATTGTTGAGTGAGGAGTTTGGGCCGATGCGTAGAGACTCAGTGCATGCCCTTAAAAGATCATGGGTTTCTTCAGCGCAAAAGTTCAGAGGGCATGTATGAAGCTGCAAAATTGGTGCTTGAGGCACAAGTACAGGCTCCATCTGCTCATCCACCACTGGAGCCACTAGCTAATCGCAAACCTTTAGGGGTGGAGTTGGGCGGGCACTGCAGGGAAAGTTGCCCCTGGTGGCCCCTGTTGGTGGTCATGGTTGGTGGTTTTCAATAATACTTGGTTGGTGCTTCTTGATCCTGCTCATCAACTACTCGTACATACGGAGAAACTCTCTCTAGCCTGTCTCCCTGTCTCCCTGTACGAGGTACACTTCCCCAGAATAACATACATCATCTTGCAGCCACCAAGCGACTAACTGACTCTAGTCTGTCCAACATCAACCTCATCCACATAATTACAAGCACAACCTCACGACTATCCTACATCCTTGTATACTCGACTGACATGTCAACTTCTTCCCCTTCCTCCTACCATTCAATCAAAATTCCAGCCTGTATCAACAGACATATACCACCAAGCACCAACCGCCTGTGTGAAAACGTTTCCGTGAAGTTGGCTTCAGTTTGAGACACCCCGACCTGCTCCCACAAGATCTTCTATGCAGCAACAATAAGTTGCTTTACCGGATCACTTCCGCCTTCACAGCCTTGCCATCCTTCATCGTGAATCGTAAAACCGTCCCGGTCCTCCTTGTTACTCCTTTGTTGCCTGCCACATCATGCCCACCACGACGACGGTTGCGTGGCTTCATATGTGGGTTGGTGCGTTTCGATATCTTCCTTTGAGCACTTGGCTTACAGCAGGTTGCGGTGGTTTGTCGTGAGGAGGAAGATGGAAGCTTAATTCTGAGGATGATCCGGGGTCTGGTTTGTTTGGTTTTGTTGCTGCCTATCCGCGGTGTGAGTTGACGTTGTGACAAAGCCTTCGAATCCGGCAGTGATGAACACGAACTTCTCAGGTTTCTATTGGCACCCATCTTCGACTTTTGATGTGGAATGTTGTTCGTTGTATGTGATTCGTGCCAAGTTTAACAGGCTTGAGTTGGATCTGAGTTGTTGTGGGCTTGGTAACTGATTTCAGTTGTACCCAGGGGAATAATGGTGAGAGGCGAAAAGCTGGTGTATCTGAGTGAGGTGCAATTGCGATACCGAGCGTCTTGCAGTTGGACTGGCTTGCCCTTCGCTTTTATAAGTGATCAATGCCGATGTCGAACTGAGAGTCAAAATTCTACGCTGAGGATCTGTGTGAGGATCTGTGAGGACCTGCGTGAGGACCTCCTAGAACCCCGGCCAGAGCTTTGTTTGCCGAACGACCAGATGAATTATTTGATGCGATGCATGTCGTGCGGTTGGCGACATGCTTCTGAAGCATCCTGTTTGTCTCGGTCACGGGTTCCGATGTTCTTTGTCTGGCATATTCCCTCCATCATCGAGCAGTAAATGAAGACAGGACCGTGATAGATGACGGAACCTGGCTGTATTCATGGGACGGAGAGCACAGACCCAGGCCTGCCAGGAGCACATGCTCTAGACGCACCCAAGACAACAGGGACGAGCCGATCCGAGAACCAGACGGGTACTTCATGTAGGCCCATAATTCCGCATTCTGCGGTCAGCCTTCCTGGTTTGCTGCAAAGCAATCCTGCCAGTCATTGCCGGGTTGTTGAGCAAATAGACCCATGGCTTTTACCAGCCAACAATACTGGCCATTTTCGTGGACTCTGTTGCCTAATTTGGACATGTGTCGCCATGTTGCATTCCCAGCTTTTGATTTGCGTTAGACTGAGAGATGGAGTCGTTGCTTTAGGAAGAAAGCTTGTTCTTGGTGATAGGCACAACGATTATCCGAATATCCAAAGGCTCGCAAAGTCTTGTTTGCCACTGTACGAGGTCCTCACAGTACAGGGCCTTCGTACATGGCATTGGTGGCCTGAAAGACTCTCAACCATGCTCATGGACAAGCGCAGTCCTCATCCCAGCCCGCTCCGCATCATGATGGGCAACACCTTTGCTTGCAGACTCTTGTAGATGTCCAATATGCCCACCATGCCAGCCCACTTCTTGGATAAGTTGTTCAGCAAGATCAAGCAAGTCCCAGATATTTCATGGATTCCACTGAAGTCCACGGGGCCTTCTGCGTCGCCGCTGAGTTCCCTCGAAAAACTCACGACAGGCAAGCGCCCATCAATCGCCAACAGACAGTGTGCCATAATAATGATGGTGGCCTGATGGATGTAGTGGGCCGAAATCATAGTGATGGGATACATCCCCCAAGGAGTGCCCTCGGCGCCACGGAAGAGCTTATTGTAGAATTCGACAACTTTCACCGCAGAATGGTAGCTCTCCCGCGGTATCACTTCGGTAATTTCTGGCCCTAACATTGAGTCTTTCGTCGCTGCCAGTGCTCGCAGTAAGAGAGGCTGAAATAGGAAACAGATCGAAGTATCAAACCCCGTCTCACATGTCATACTGCCCATGCCAGGTGCGGTCTCGATGAACTGTAGTTCGCGTCGCCACGCCAACATAGATTCGACACTTTGCTCATACCATATGCGAGGCAAGGTCGGTGCAACAGCCGGAAGGTATAATTCGCGAAAGATCTCAGAGCGTAGATACGTCAGCCGATAGTAGTGTGAAGTAAATATCGACTGTAGCATGTCTGGGTCGGCCATGGGGGCTTCATTCAACGAGGCAGGGTACTCGGCGGTGATGATCTCTTCTGTAAGATCCGATGGCCGGCCAAGGTGTTGTCCCATCGTCCGCTCGATACAATATAATCCCCAAAATATACCACGGCGCTTCTTCCGACTTTTCTCGTCCTCGTATTCGTCGTTGGTCTCGGTATGATAGTTGAGCTCCACGCTCAGACGACAGGCGAAATCCAACAACTTCCAGATGTCACCCTTGCGAGGCTGAAACAAAGTAAATAGAATGAGGAGGAGCAGGGCTTGAAGTGCATCCGGGGAGACATCAGAAGTTACCTCTTCAACACACTGCAAACCCTCAGAGTAATACGCCATGGACTCGGTATCGTAGACGGAATGATGCCTCGCCTTGTTCGCGGAAGCGATGGCGCAGATCATGGCAACTCGGAAAAATTGATGGGCATCCTTGCCTGTGAGATACTTGACATTTGAACCATGGTTGCGCAAATAGGTGTCAATCTCGTAAGCCAGATCTTCGGGATCGAAGAAGGTCGTCAGCATGTTCGTGGTCGACATGTACAAATTGATGAGCATTTCAACCTCCGCTCGTGACGGTGTAGCTCTCGGTTGTAGTGGTTCAGCGACCTCTGTGCTCTGGGCATTGAGCCAAAATTCAGGCCCGGCATAGTCTGGATGATGGACTATGGAACCCAGCTTCGACTGAGCATGTACCAGGACTTCAACCACCAGCGCGTAAGGCGAGCTGCTACCCAGGAACTGCCAACACGTGGGGTTTGCATGTTCTATGATGAAATGCTTGTCGAAAGACAGGTCGCTGGTGTAAGTGCCCCAGTCGTTGAGAGGAGGGTCGAGGTTGGTGGAAGCCGTCGACGTGTTCCGTTCATGGTGAGGTAGTTTGAAGGCACTTAGAGGCTCACTTGTCCCATTGACAGATGCCTGAACAGCCCGTAGGCGGCCCAAGCGTGTCAAGAGTGAGTGGACGTAGCTTTGAAACCTGGTCAGGCTCTGTTTCGCCGTGTGACCGCAGAGGATTGGGGGTTAAGTGGCAGACTCACCTTCGCGGCAGAGTCTGTTGAAGGGCATGATCGAAAAATGTGCACTCAGCTTTGCCCTTTTGACACAGACGACAAGCAGGGAGATTTGTGTCGCACTTCCTCCTCAGACGACGGCATCTTTGACAGGTGGGCAATAGACGTGTCAGATCTGCTTCGGAGATGGTCGCGTGGTCAATGTCCATGTTGTGCTATTGTGGCCGACCAAGTCCGTTGTGGCGGGTATTCAAGCAGTATACAACCAAGGACATGTGCGCTTTGGTAACACAGCCTTGCATCAAAGGCCGAGCCTGGATAGTTTTTTGGGTTTCCTGGACTTTGTTTCACCCTTCAATCAACGTCCATTCATGGGAGCCATTTTCGAGGTAGGAAGAGGAGAACTCGAGATGAGGGATGAGGAGGAGGAGGAGTCGCATTAGCCGAGGTGGTGGGAGGGACAAAAGAAGAAGGCAATTTCGAGGTGCAGCGAGGGTTGTTGGCCCTACCACGATTGTCCGTCTGCCGTACAGGAGCCGGGATCAAGGTCGGAGGTCAACGGCGAGGGCGATGAGCGATAGGCGGAGGCAAGGAGGGCCAACAGAGGGGGAAGAATTGGGAGAAATGAGAAAGAGGAAAGTGGGCAGAGGCGGGGGTCTCACTGGCTGCCATGGACTTCAGGGCTCCAGGGCTCCAGGGCTCAATGTGTTTGCCCTGCGTGTTCGGTGCAATTGAGTGAGTGGGTTGCGATAAGGGAAAATCACTTGCCCTGCGCCCTTCGCCTTCCACCTCCACCTCCACCATCGCAACCAACTACATACCGCCACCATCATCGAGAAAACCTACCGTCGCCATCACCTACCTATTGTATGAACTTTCCCTTCCTTCGATTCGGCCATCTAGCCCATCTAGAGTATTCAGCCAAGCCATCTCAAAAAGAGGGTTCCTTATCCCCCTCTCCTCCTACCCATCAGTCTCGTCATTGTTACCACCAACGACGCCAGCCACCACTCCCACCACTACCACCGTCACCGCGATTGTCGGCTATTGAGCCATCGGCATATCCGATGGGGTTGGTGCGAGGGCCAACAGGTTGTCATTATCCGTGCACAACACCTGCACTCTCAATGCAACACTAAAACACTCACCGGGTCACCTACTTGACTGTTTCCACCATGAGTGAATGTCGTCGGTCGGTACTCTCTTGCGCTCGCTGTCGCAGAAGGAAAATCAAATGTGATCGGGCCATCCCCTGTGGCCAGTGCATCGCCGCAAAGTCGGAATGCACCGGCTTTAGTTCCAAGGACCAAGATCCCACCATTCCGAGGAGCATCGTTCAGCATCTTGAATCTGAGATTGCAAAGGTCGAAGGGGAACTCGCCCGCAATGGCCATTTGGAAGAACTCAACGCGTCGGACATTCTGGCGGGAATGCCTACCAACGACGGCATTCCTATTGAGGATCCCGCATTACCAATCATTGATCTGCCCATCTCCAAGAAAGAAGACACGCCCAAATTGACGCTCAATGTCGATGGTCTATCCCCACCGACTGCACCGAGAGACACGATTCGAGATGAAGTCATGAGTTGCGGCGAATTGCAGGCAATGATCTTTGCCATTCTCCCAACAGGCCCCGGCATTACCGATCTCATCTCGAGAGTTCGCATGAGCCTGACGCCGTCAACCGCCATAGCATCAGGATCCCCCCGAGAAGCGCGCAGAAAATCCATCTCACGGGCCAGCCATGAAGTCAGCTGTACAATGCTCAAATCTATCCCAACTCCCATTCTGCGAAGTCTCATCAAGAAATACATGACCAGGGTCTATCCCATCTACCCGGTTCTCCATGCTCCCTCACTATGGCAGCAGCTTGAGCGAGTCATCAAGACGCTGCAAGAACTCCCCGAAAAGCATCGCGCTGTTCCTCCGTCCTTTGATTTTCTCATCATTTACCTCATGCTTTCTATCTCGGCTACACTGGGCAGTGCACGAACAGGCCACGAGGCCAAGCACATGGTATTCTCGGGGTCTCTCTTCGAGGAAGGCATTCAACATCTGACCGACAAGGCCAAGATTCCCTCCGACCTTGCTGGGATCCAGGTCACGCTTATGGTTCTCCAATATGCGTCTATCAACCCTCGGCTTGCCAACGTCTGGATGTTAACCGGGGCTGCCATGCGCGCATGCCTAGAACTTGGTCTCCATCGTGAAGCGCCCGAGGCTCTGAACTTTGACCCTTTGACTCTGGATCTTCGGCGACGTCTTTTCTGGTCAGCATATAATTTCGATCGTGCCATCTGTTCGGCACTACAGCGGCCACTCTCCATTCCAGACCAGACCATTGACGCTCGGTTCCCCTCCATTCTTGACGATAAGCATATCCACCCCACTGGCATCGATCCAACAGGTGCTGAAACCAAAATTCACATGTTGCGATGGGTGCATTTCCGTCGCTTGCAGAGCGCCATGACTGAAGTGCACTTCCAAGGCAAGCCTCTCGAACCCGGGCAGTCGTGGGAAGACTGGCTTGTCTCGATGGAAAGACGTCTCCAGGCGTGGTATGAAGATTATAATGACGGTCATGAGTTGACCGAATTCACCCTGGCGCATGGCTTGACCAATCTACATCGCCCATCACCTCGAGTACCCTTGCCAGGGCCCAGAAGTCTAATGGTGGCGTTTGAGGCTGCCTGCTCCAGCGCCAAATGCCTACGCGACCACATCCTAACAGGTTTCTATCGGCGTTCGTGGCTGATCGCTCATCATGTGCTGGAAAACAGTATGGTCGTGCTCTTCTGTCTTCGCCACGGCTTTGACGCCATCTCGTCTCGCTTCAATGCCCAGCAAATCTTCGAAATGACCAAGGTCTTCACAGCGAACTTTTTGGCCCTCGCCGCGCAGGGATGGAACGAGGTATCCAACTACGCCGGCGTGTATGAGCGCCTTTTAGGACCACTACTGGAGTCCGTCTTTTCAAATCGGCCTCCTTCTCTATCATCGTTCGGTCCTGCACAGGATGCGGAACTCACGCGCCTGCTCTATCCCGGACCTGCTCAGCTCGATAAACTCCGCTTCGGGAGCCGCTCAGGGCTTGAGGGAGACGGACTACCTGCATTTGACGTCGGCACGTTGAATTGGGAGGAGTTCAGCGTAAGTGACTCAAGGTCAGCGAGTGCGGAGGGATTCGTTGCAGGATGGGATCTGTTTGATCCCAATGCGGTGGGAAGTGGAGGTCATGATTTGGTCTTTGGGATGGCGTGATGAATTTGCGACAAACTTCAACTGGACATAACAGCATTGGAAGCCTCCCAACAGTTGAGCATGTGGGGTTTGCCACTACAAAAATGGCCGAAAAGTCGGGTGTCTGTTGTTTTCAAAGACCGTCAGTCAGGGGACCCGTGTGCTTTCTTGGTTGGGGTTATGCTCGTCCATGTCAGATTCGACCCGCTCTCACCACGACATGGTCCCATCCTTATCCATTATCGGCCGACTCGGCCGACGTGGCGAATAATTACGAAGGAAGTACCGCTGTGAAATTGGGGGCTTCTTGACTCATCTTTTCACGATGAGTTTGTCGAGACCCCAAAAACGGCATGTCTATGGCGGCGCTGTCTGTACGGAAGGGGATATGCCTGGCCGGTGCTAGAATTGGATTCGATGCCGCCGGCCGCTGTAGGCAAAGGAGAACAGAGGGACTGTCGGTCCGGACACGTCTACGATGCTCCAAAGTCGTTCGACTATTGTGGAGGCATTCATCTGGGACATCCCAGACACCAACCAAAACGAGAGCCTGACGTCTCGGACCAACGGCCCATTGATACTTTGTTGCTTTTTGATTATGTATTATTCAGGGGACGTAAAAATCACGATCATGGCGTTCCCACCAGAAACTACGACGGAGTAGGTAGGGAGTTGGAGCGTGGATCTCTAAGCAAAAGGCAGGACAGAATGTGATGTCGTCTGCTAGTCCAAGATGACTGTTGATATATCCATGTATAATTCACAAATGTATGTATTTTCCTCCGCGCATGTCCTTGTATCTAGGTATGTGTATGTGTATATACCGGGTATATGTTATGTATCTGGCCGGGGTGGCCTAAAATAGCAAACCACAACCACAACCACAACCACAGCTACAGCTACAACCTACGAGGTACTTTAGACAAGCAGACTGTGTTTCCAGAACGCGAGAGGATTGGTGAAAGAAGAGATTCGAGTTGACTTGAGTTGAGATGAGAGGAAAATAGGAATAAGGAGACAGGGAGACAGGGAGACAGTGCGAATCTTATCAATTCATATCCGTATCGAGTAGTTTGTTGCGGGCGAGAGAGGAAAAGAAAAGGACACAAAAGGGCGGATTGGATTCGACTCTGACAATGATATCGACACTGTTATACATTGTTATATGGTAGATGGATGCAGAGGTTGGTTGACTGCGCGATCGGATAGAACCATGGGCCTGGCTCATGGATACCGTGGAAAGATGGCTTCGAGTCTCTGGACCAGCGCATCCGGCACATTCGGCTGCGATGCGGTCGTGGTCGTCGAGCTCGCCATATCTTTCGCATCCTTGCCAGAATCAGTTTCAAGAAGATCCCGCCAACTTGCCACATTGTGCAGCCTGATCTCTTGGTCCAGCACTTCCGCCTCCGCCACATCCACTCTTTGTTCCGTACGCATGCCCACAGTTCTTGCCTGATTCCCGAATTGTAATTTCCGCGTTGCCCAGACCACATCATTCCCGCACTGCTCCGGATCTGGCGTTGGGCTTCGCAGCGTCAAGGTTTTCAAGACGCCGCGGTTTGCGCAGAGTTGGACCTCGTGTTGCTCCAGCATGCCGCTGGCAAAATCGAATATTGGAGTCTGTTCGAAGATCCAACTCGGCGAAATGAGTTCTTGCATGCCCGTTGCCACCGCAGGATTCAGCTCATCGTACTCCTCCGTACCGCCTGGGAGAGTGAACTCATCAACCCCGGGTCTGCGAACACTGTCCTCTCGGTACATCTTCCAGAATTCCCTTGTGATGGCTTCCGTGATCTCTGCTCTGATCGCCTCCCTCTCGCGGGGGTCTGGCGTCCACGCGAGATTCCCGACTTTGCTGCGCACACTCTCTACGCCTTTGGCGCTGATCAGGCCACGACCGGGGCTTCGCAAAAACGCAGAGATTTTGTTCACGTACGGGCTGGAGTAGAGCAAGGTCCCATGATGGAGAGCGCGGCCTCGGGTCAATTTGTAGGCACTTCCGCTAACTTTCAACCACTCCCCCCCGTCGGGCTGGAGCATGACAATGTCATTGCGGTCGTTGACCCGGACCGCTCCAAAGCTGTACCTTTCATCTGTGACTGCCGACGACGAGGATGTAGCTCTAGCACTTGCAAGGCTTTCAAGCCCCCGCACTACCATTTCAGCATGGGTGCTTCTCTTAAAAGCCTTGGTGTTCGGGACAATCACTGAATAATTGAGATTCCCCGAGTCGTGGAAGACAGTGCCGCCTCCGCTGCGGCGCCGGACAAGGTCAATGGGCACAGCGTTTGTTGACACATTGTTCTCGCCACCTCTTTTGACCGCTTCCACTACTTGCTTTTCAACAGGGAGCCCCGCCTGCAACCTCTTGAGATCCGCCTCGAGCCATGGGTTCTGGTTGCGGCCGATAACCACACAAGGTCTGTTGGTGTAGAACAGGAGGATGTGTGAGTCGGGATGTGACTTGGTAAGCAGAAAGTGCTCGATCGAGAGGTTGAGATACGGATTGTCCGAGGTCAGATGGAAGATGAAAGGTCCCGTCCCTTGCGAGACACGGGACAAATCTTCAGGACCCCATGCTGGATTCGGGGTGGCTCTGGTGCCAGGATGGATGCGGCGACGGTGCACTGCAGTCAGGAGGAGGCTAGCCCGTGATAGGTTTCTAGACCGACCAGAGGATACCCGGTGCAACGAGGTCAGATGCAGCCATGGAACCGGCCGCATTGAACAAGCAAAGCCCCGTCAAGAACGATGTTTCCCATACAAGGAAGGTGACAGAACCCTTCGAGGCGCAACAATGTGCATCGTCGCAAAAAGCAAATGTCAATGGTCATGGGCTACAGAAGGAAGGTTAAGCGGATGATCGGATGATCGGAGGAACATCGGAACATTGGAACATCAAACATCCAATTGGTTGTTGTTTCTTCTCCCATTCTCATTTACATACTCGGTACATACTTGTAGGGTATTTCTCATCTTCATTCGTTGCCCTCAAACCTCCGTGGTCATCGAATGCATGCATCGTTCCTGCATAATCTTTCAAGGGTATCAATTCGTGATTCAGCTCCTCCCCCACGCCATGCTCAAAGTTCCTCCGGCCCGCATACGGACGGACGTCCAGCGGGCACACACGACTATATGCCGGCGCCAAAAGTCCCCTCCCAAATAATGCTTACCCTTGCATGATTGTCCCCCTGCGGCTCCTTCGTGCGCCTAAAACCGATTCGGAAAATAGTGTTGGCCAACCATAATCGCCATTTCTGCAAAGACCTAAACTGGAGGGCAGGGCGCATAATGCAGATGCGTCGTCGCTCTGCAAACACCTTGCCATCTCGACCAGACAGTACTTTTGGGGGAAACCCAAGGCTCAGCTTAATCATCGTCCGCACGCCGCTTGCCCACAGACACCGGCGCGCCAACACCCTCTTCGACTTCCGGGACGCCAAGATTGGTATCTGACCAGGGCTCTCGCCAGCTGCAGCCCGACGCAGTATAGATTCCTTGCCTGGCATCGGCCACCCGATGGGTTCTTCCAGATTCGATCTCCTGATGAAGCTTTTCGGAGAAAAGAAATTGCCTGACGACCTTCCTTGTGTCCTCCCAACCTGACACCCCCATACTGGTGGATAGACTCTGGTAGCGATCGTGGAACCAGTGCTCCTCCGCAGCACTCACGGGATGCACTTTCTCCGCCAGTGAACCCACATACAGCGCCCACAGTCGCAGTCGCCGGAATTGCGCGGCGTCATCCTCAGAGGCACTCTCTGTCAGCTTCTTGCGGAGATCCGTGATGAGTTTGAGCCCGAATCGCGTCGGTTCCGGTGAACCCAAGACCATGGCCGTCATCAATGCCGTCGCAATGCAAGTGTAAGCCTGTGTCACGGGCCGCTGGAACAGGTGAGGATATATCGCTACATTCACGTAATGGTCGGCGAGACGCGAGATGCAGTCGAACTTGCGCAGTTGCTTCCACCTTAGTAGTTGATCATCGCTAGGAACGTCGTGTGTCAGGATGTACTCTTGCGCTCTGAAAAGCTCCCGTAAGTCAGTAATCACCGCTTTCATGATGGGATGCTCGACCAGCGGATCAATGGTGGCGGCGTGGTCTCCAAAAACCCCTGCGGAAAGCAAGCGAGCCTTCCAGGGCTGACTCAAGGGCCCGGGAGTCCACTCTGACGACGGGAAGAGTGGGCGAGTCTCGTACTTGAGAGCAAAATAGCAATCGCAGGAGAGTAAGTCTTCCCGGAACCAGGCATCTAACAGAATGACTCCGCCGGCTGCGCTGACGAGGTTTCGCAGCATTTTGAGGTGCATGCGCGCGATCGAGGTGTTGTCGACAAGCGTTTCGGACGAAAAGAGCTTCAGGATGGCTTTGAGGGTGGCTAGGTCTTGCGGCCCAGGGCGAGCCACCCGCTGCCTCAACTCCGTCATGGCCTGGCCTTGAAAATATCGGGATTGATAGGCGAGGCTTTCGTCCTCGGTGAGAACACTCATGGCGGCTGCCAAAAGGCTCAGATATGCATTGGCGTAACAAGCATCCTGATTGATTAGAGCTGTATCGTCCCAACTTCTGGCGATCTCGTATGAGCCTTCGCTTTTATCTGATTCTCTCGGCCAGCTTTGAGGGATGAATACTTCGTAGGCGAACGCTATAAGACTGGTAACCAGTGGAGTCATGGTTAAGGATGTCGGTTCGAACGAGCTTGCGCCGGGGTCTAAGGGCCTGCTGGACGAACTCAAGATGGAAGTGGGATCATCTTCGATCATGCTCGAATGTGCCGATGGCGTCGATGTGGTCGACGTTGGCAGTCCGCTACTTGACGCTTGACCAGAGCTGATTCCAGGATAGCCAAGCTGAAGAGGTTGTTCGGTCATCCATGGATCAAATCCAAACGGAGTTGGAGGGTTGGCTCTTGACTGCGAGGCATGTGTCAACGGCGCTCTATTGTAAGGATTCTCAAAGGGAGCTGGACATACAGACTGCGGTTGTGACTGTGATGGCTGTTGTTGCTGCTGAGGCGGCGGCCGCAGCAGCGGGGGTTGTCTCTGTTGTGGCTGCTGTGAAGGAGGGGAGAGTGGCCCCACGGGAACATTAGCAGACGCTCGTAGCTTTTTCGCTTGCTCCTGCTTCTTCCAACGCTCATAGCGGTTCATCACATGCCAGGACACGGCAGCATTGTGGTCTTTGGAATCAATATTGCCGGCATCCTTGTTGACGAAGGAGAACTCGCCCTTGAATGGAGCTGGTTGATCCGGAGAACGCTTGTCTTTGGACATGGATCTTTGAGACAACGGATGAGCGATGTCTTCTCCCAGGGAATGCTGATACACAAGAGTAGTAGCCATCCTGGAGGCAAAGCGTCGACACGGCTGTTTTGAAGGAGAGAATCCATGGTGAAGTCGGGCGAGAAGGCGGTAGGTCGTTCTATAGCGATTTCCAAATGTTTAGCTGAGCATTTGCAGAGCGATGGAAGGTTATCGCAGATCTTCCATAGCGCTCGAGGCCCAGACACGAGGCGATAATTTCTGGATCAGTTGGTGTCAAGGACTAAACCCGTTATTGCAGGGCAGCTTTGCAATTCTATTGGAGGTTGTGCCGGGTTTCAGGAGAGGCTTGACTGAGATCTCGAGCCCGATGGACCGTAGACGGCCATTTGCCTCTCGGAAGAGGCACCAAGCTGACGGCCGATGGGAGACTCTTCCTTGATGCAGTAGGTTGTGGCTTGTATCGAAGACATCCCATACAGTGACATAAGCACATTGGTCCTCGGAAAATGCGCAGACACAGCCTCCGGGATCACACTGAGCATAGGATCCCTAATCCACGCTCGGCTCGAGCCTTGGGTGGTTTTCCTTCGTGTTGGCGCCAAAGCGATCGGGCGGACACGAGCGCCAATACGAGGGAAGTGGGATGTGTGCCATGTCTTGTGCCGCATCTGCTTAAGTCAGACCCTCGTCATTCCCTGCAATCGAGCCTGCCGAGTGGTTTCCTGGCGGGGTTTAGTGCCTCCAGTAGCGCAGGTTGGTCCTTGTAATAATCATTCATGGTTAGCTAAGCTGGAGAAGATGAGCGAGGCACCCAGGGGGTGACAGATGGGAAGCGAAGAGAGGGGCCCTGGTGACTAACCCTGATCCTCGAGTATTTTGGCCCTCGCAACTAGGATGAGCCGAAGCTGCACCGTCGTCAACGAGTGTTTAGTCATAGCACCTTGTGTTGGTAATGGTGGTTGGTGATCTGTTCCCAGCCTCTGGTCGCGTGGAAACAACATTGCGACAGATTGATTCCCTGCTCTCGCTTGCCATTTTGTGAATAGTCCCTCCTCTTTGCTAGGATGACTGGTAGATCCTGCGTTGACTGAACCTCAGATGACCTCCCAGTGTTTTCTTGTTCGGTCTGATTCTTTCGTAGGAGGACGGCGCTGAAAGGTTCCGCAGCTAGTGGCGCTGGTCAACCGTTGGTTCGGTGTTTCGTAGAACTCTCGATGGATGAGGGATTGCCCGCCAGGATTCACTCCATGCAATGGACGGGAGACCTTGGGCAGCCAGCTGAGCCGACGACGCACACAGTGCATCTCTGGGACTCGGCAAGTAGGACGTCACGTAGAGGTGATTCGAAATCCCGGCACCTCAGACGTTGAGATGATGGCGACGCCGGGCTCCGGGTGTTGGGGGTTCGACGATTTTGCAAGCCGCAGGAGGTGGAGGAGGGGGTAGAGTGTGACCCAGAACTGAGGGCCACGCAAAGGGCATCTCTGGTCAAAGCCTGCACTCGTGGCCCGATTGACTACTCTCCCCAAGGCCAGCACGATTTCATCACCACCGATTGGAGATTCTCTTCTGAGCGAGATTTATGGATGGGCGACAAAGAAATGTCTCTTTTCTATCTCAGCCAGATGGGTGGGGCTCTTATATAGCCTTGCTCAGTGCCCTAATTGGGAATGCTCTCTAGAATATCTTTGTAATGCGAAGGCACCCAGATCCAGCCACCATCAAGAGTTGCATACCTCTAAACTGCCAACGACGACCTCTTTAACCAGACTTGGTCAATACGTAGTGTAATTTGTCAGAAGCACTGAGATCACAAACCCGAAAGCTCGGTTGAGTCAAGCAATACGGGTCTGTACCTCAACAGCCACAGCTCGCCTAAAGGATGGACGAACCATCTGTTGGGTAGTATTGGGGGGCATTTCCGAGTCCAAACCACCGTAGCCTCCAGAAGCATTGGGCTCATACGACTTTGAGGCAAATGGAGGTGTTGCAATCTTTGCTGTGCTTTGTCGTTTTTGGAATGTGCCTTGAGCGTGGCCATGGGTCCGCTGGGAAACTGGGATGGACCACAATGTCGCTGGCGCAATCGACAGTTCACTTGGCCGAGAGGCTTGCCGGTTGCTGAAATGCATCATAACAAGGGACTTGCTTTGCTCATTTAAAAGCAACCAGCATGCTGGTCTGAGCAGTGCAAGAGGAAACTTGCTGCCACGCAGTGTCTCCCTAATCACAAAGCCGAGCAGCACCAGGTATGCGATTGTTAAAAGACAACGCATTTCCCTAGCTAGTCTAGAAGACTAATTCTTGCATAGGGATTTCCCCACGAGAGAGGTAGTGTCACGGCCGTGCAGAAGGCGCAATAGATGCGGTGACGAAACAAAATCCCCCTTGGTCCCTCAGGTCAGGGAAACCCTGGGAAAGCAGATAACGCACCCGAATCCGAAGGAGGACGACGTGCGAGTTGGGGAGTCGTGGACTTTGGCCACAAAATCATGGAACGGCAATTCAGGTGACGCAGCGGGTAAGATTCCAGGACGCTCATCACCTGAGGCACAAGGACTTTTGCCAGTCGACATCTCCTCCTGTGTCTGGTACTGTCGCCCCCTCTCTACTAGGGAGGTGGAAGGACAACCTTCCATGGACCGAGTCGTATCGGATCGAGGGCTGCGCACCACCACATAGATGGCATGCTGCAGTTACAGGAAAGCGTCGACCTAGAGCATATTGACTGTGAGTACATTGCACGGCTTCGGACTGGCTTTGATTTGGCGAGACCGGTTCGAAAAGATCCTTGAAGGGATGACTGTGTTCATAGAGGACTGTGTTATTCAGGCCAAATTGGTTCACCTTTCAATTGATCCTCCGGGACCGCCTATTCGCCTTCTTCGACGGGATATCATTTGGCAAATTCAATCTCAGAGGCTGGACACCTCCTAGAAATGTTGGCGGCCGTCAATGGTCCTGAGAGAGACTCGTGGTAATGGGAAGAGAATGCTGACTGACACGTGCCATGCACACCATTCTATGGAGAACACCCTTCCAACATGAAACAAAACACAAGGCCGCTAAACTTAAAGTGAGAGGGCGGTTCGGGATGGCTAGGGAAGCACAATGATCCGCATAAAAGGCGGCTGTCATATCCGCAGTGGCGCTTGTGGAGCGTGTCAGAGGGGATCTTTGTGGCTGATCAAGAGCACAAGAATTGTGCCTATTTGCTCTTTTCTTGTCGTACAGACATAAGTCAGGGAGGGTACAACCTGGTGCAACCCACAGATCATAAGCCCAAACTGCACACAACAACCTATCAACCGGCCCGCATCATAGGTCAACCAAAAGAGGGGAGCATATCCTTCATCTCGCTCGCCACCTCTTGTTCTCGTGTCCAGTTGGGCCCAAGACGTCAATGTCTGGCCTTCGAAGGTGGCATGACTCGTTAAAACTTTGCCCAACATGAATGCCGAAGTGTGCCTCACAGTGGCTGGAATCGAAAGTCCGTCCAAGCTTTGCATCAGAGAAAATGTGGTGGCGGAAACAGAGGGCAGGGAGATCGCCAGAAATGCGGGGGATCTTCCATACAAGTGATTTGCAAGCAACTTGCCGGCGCTCCCATCTGGGAGATTGATGTGTATCGGTAACAATGGTATAGTTGGAGGGTTTAAAGGACGACTGACCCGGAGGACAAACGAAGTAAAGTTGAAGGCGCAGAGAGGCGTTGCGGACTCTGAGCAGTCTCTTGTCCCTTGGTCTTTGTCATCCTCCTCGGTCTTAATGCGGAGGAATGATGACATGCGGTTAAGCAGCCTCCCTTTGCGACAGCAGCCGAGTATTCAGGCACACCCGGAGATGCCAATACCGGGTTGTTATTTTAGGGAGGGCATAATCAATCTGCTGGATGAAGTAGTCTCAGTGATTGGGACGGCATTTCCCAGGCTGCGAAGCACATGGGGCGAAGCAGGTCCACCTGGAGTGGATCGCAATGATATATAGTACGCCATCGGTGGAGGCACTGGATAGCCCTTCCAGCGAGGAAAAAGACGAACCACTGGAGGCAAATCTCCACCTCAGTGCACGGTGGCAACGGTCGGAACTTGACACATGTTTTGGAGTTGAAGGTTTAGAACCGCCTGGGATTCGAGTTTGCTCCGCAATGCTCTGCGTACTCGCAATCTTCAGAGAGTCATCGCCGTCAGAAATGGACCTCGAAAGTAGGGTGAGCCTTAAGACTAGGGCGTGTGTGCGGTTGGTAGGAACCCTGTCAGTGCTGGCTGCGAACATGCAGAGGGGCTAGGTCCGGCAGTGTGCGCTAATCCATGAGTAGTCCTCTGCTGATCTCAAACGATCGCGACGATCGCATGCTCAAGGTTTGCGCGGGTCCAACTTGAAGCATGTGAAAAGTTCAGAGACAAACCCCAAGGGGGTCTTCCTCCCGCCATGGTTCACAAATCAACCTGAGGCTCAGCTGCCACATTGCTCTCTTCTGCGTCGAAAAGATGACCAATACTGGTAGAGACAAAGCGCCATGATATTCCTGAAGATTTGCTGTGACGTTGCCGAAGCGGCAGGGCCAAAGTCTGTTGTTAGGGGGCCTCGAGTAGTCTGAGCGGGCAGCAGCGGTAGGATTTGTTGGCTCAATGTGGCTTTCACCTAGTTTCTGTGCTTGTTCTCGGCGGGATGCTCCAATTCGCTCTTCAGCCCTTGATCCCCAACCAGTTTGAGCAATGGTATCTGAAGCCCTGGCATGACTTTCTGCATCTTCTCCACACTTTTTGCTCGCCGTCATGAGGTAGTGTGGCAGCCAGGAACGGCACGCGCCCAACGCAATGCAGAGGCAAAGCGTTCTGCATTGCGATGGTTGTAGCAGGAACAATGTTGAGAAAACCTCTTCCATGTTCATGCAGTTCCCGTCTCTCCGGCATGGAGTGCAGTAGTGAGGCACGAGGGCGTCACTCAAAAACTATCCTGCGTTGTCCCGACATCATTTTCTTATGGTATGAGGGGGCCGCTGATGCATGTTTATGTTGGCTCAGACCACGCCGTTGACAAGATGTCTCTGTCTAGAAAGGTCGTACGACGCACAG